AATTTTGAAATGGTAAAGAAAAGCTATATCTTAAAAAAGAAGAAAATGTAATTAAAATCAACAAAGAAATAATTTTTTTCCTTTTAATATTCATTTAAGTTTCCGACCGATTTTTCAAAACTTTAATTTGAAATTCATAAATTTTTAAAAAATAATGTTCCCAAGAGAAGAAGGTAATATTTCAAACATTTTGTTTTTTAAATTTTTTTCCCGATCTTTCCTATGGAAGCTATAAGATTTAGTTGTTCGATCCGGCCGGTTCCGACTTATATACTACCTGCAATAGAAAGAAACTTTTGGGAAAGTTTCATCCCGATAGCCTAAAAACTGAGAGACTAGTTTGCGTATAAACGGACGAACGGACAGACGGATAGGCTAGATACATATACTTTATGGGGTCGGAAACGTCCCTTCACTGAGTTGCAAACTTTTGACTGAAATTATAATACCCTCTGCAAGGGTATAAAGATTGCCCAAACATTATTGATCTTTTTGATAATCATTTCCATCATTACCTCTTCAGATATGCCAATCTCAGTGCCCGCTCCTCGGATCTCACCTCTTTGCTGGGCTCAATGGCCAACCAGATGTCCGTCCTGGAGACAGGTCATCAATGCCAAGTGCCACACGTTAGTAGCATCCACACTTGAGTCACTTTCAGAATGATATATTTAAGTAATTTCATCCTTTAGACACTAGAGGCCTATGCTCGTGTGATCCGAGAGATCCTGGACCGGCAGCAGCGCTTCTTTGTCCTGATCATCGATGGAGTGGACGAACTGCAGCGGGAAGAACTGCTCGATTGGCTGCCCCTGCAGCTGGGCAGTGCCAAGCTGATCCTCACCATCAGCGAGCTGGCGGCGGATGAGGGAGAGGTGGACGTGGACGGGACGGAGGCTGGGAACGACTCCTTTGATATGCTCGCCGCGCTGGCGCAGTTGGGCATTCAACAGCGTTGCTTCCTGCGGCTGCGGCAATTTACGGAACGCCAGTGGCACGACATCCTCAGTTCCGGTGGCGGTGACTTCTACGCGGCCAACGGGGCACTCAAGCTGCCCGACGAGTGGAAGACGCTGCACGGCAAGACGCCCTACCACGCCAAGTCACTGTGGTGGCTCGCCTGGCTGGGTCATGTGGCCCAGCCGATCAGTGAGATTGGCGACATCTCGGGGCGTATTTTGCAGGTGCTGGAGTCCAAGTTTGCCGCCGATCAGGTGGAGCTGCTGCTGCTGATCGTCAAGCTGTCGCCATGGGGCATCCGCGAGAGCGACTGCCTGGGCGTGTTCCAGAAAATGACACAGCTGGAGGCGCAGGTCGCCTTTAAGGTCTGGTCCAAGTTCTGCTGGCTGATGGGACCAATGCTGTTAGGTCTTAAGAATATTAGGATAGCGGACAGGAGCTTTGGACGAGCGGTCCTGGCGAGGTACGCGCAGAAGCAGTGGCTGGTACATGAAGCGCTGCGGGACTACTTCGACCGGCAGGACAGCGAGTTCAAGGGTAGCCAGGGTGCCAACACGTGAGTTCCCGTCCTTTTTGTATCTGATCAATTTTATAAGCTATTTCCTCTAACAGCTACAATTACCAAAAGTACTTAAAACTGCCTTATCATCACTTCTGTGCCGTGATTGAGGACAATCCGGCGCCGCACAAGATCGACATACTCTTCAACTGCTTTTACTTTACGGACCTCCAGTGGATCGCCAACAAGGTGCATGCCACGGGACCAGAGCACCTCCTCCACGACATCCTGCAGGCGGAGTGGCTGGCCAAGTCCGGCGGTTATGTCCACATCCACTTCCTCAAGCAATTCCTCGAGCAGTATCTCCACGAGCTGAGCTACGATGGCCAGCAGTTCTACACGCTGATGAAGTACTACCTGAAGACCCGCTTCAGGGAGGCACCGGAGCTGAAGGACGACGAGAAGATTCGCTCCTGGTGGGAGTACACCAACGAGCTGGAGTTCGCCTTTCTGGAGATCCTGAACGCCGATCTGGATGCGGAGAATGGCAATCAGGAGAAGCCCTCGGAAGAGGAGGAGGATGCTCCTGCCACTTCGATCCCCGTGAAGGGTTACGATGTCCTCATGAATCTGCCCCAGCCCGGCTGCTATGTGGCCTCCATGTGCACAGAGCGAGCCGAAATTTGCATCTGGGATGTGAAGAACTGCTGTCGCATCCGTGAACTGCAGGGCATCCAGCAGCCGACGGCCATGTGTCCTGTGGGCAACTACGAGGCGGCTGTCCTGTGTCGTCGCGAGATCCGGGTCATCAATCTGGACGAGGGAAAGTTCAAGGTGAGTTGTGTATAAAATAAATCTTTTAACTAAACTCAGTGTGTAAAAAACACTTCGTGTTAATAACACATTGTGTAAAAAAAACGTCGTGTTAATAACACATTGTGTAAAAAACACGTGTTAATAACACATTGTGTAAAAAATACGTCGTGTTAATAACGCATTGTGTAAAAAACACAAGATAGCTGTGTGTCTTAACAATTATTTTTCACATTTTAACACTTTTGTTTTTGACACATATGTCAAAAACTTTGCTCACACTGTTAAATACAATTTTACAAGTTTTTAACATGTGTGTTAAGTTCCGAAACCTGTTAGTAACACATTGTGTAAAAAACACAAGTGAGCGGTGTGTGTTAACAATTATTTTTCACATTTTAACACTTTTGTTTTTGACACATATGTTAAAAACTTTGCTCACGCGGTAAAATACAATTTTACATGTTTGTAACATGTGTTTTAAATTCCGAAACCTGCTTTTAAATGTATCATTAATATGATTTTTCTTGTATTTTCAGGTTACCCTGAAGGGAGTGATGAACCAAAAGATGCCGTATTTCGGTCTGCACGATCAAAACCACTTGGTTTGCCTCTCCCGGAACAGGATGTATGTGAATCTAATGAATCTGGATTCGGGCGACTGTGTAACCACCTTCAAGGCGGGCGAGGACCGCTTTCTCAATTCCCTTTTGGTCTCTGGAGACGGACGGTAATGTGGAAATAATTAATAATAATTAAAATTTAAGTAGTTTCTTATTCCCTGTTTGTTTTCCAGGATCTTGGTGTGCGGCGATGAGACCCAGAAGCCTTTCCCCCTCCTCGTCTGGCACCTTTCGCAGCGCAAGCTGCTCTATGACCTCCGAATCCCGCACCACGACTTCATCACCTCCCTGTCGGCGATCACCCACGAGGGCTCCTACGTTTGCGTTGTGGCCAAGGAGCTAAATGAGCCCACGACGCCCAACTTTATTGTGGTATACGACCTGCAGAGTGGCACTCTGTTCAAGAAGTGGAAGCCCACCTGCAACACCGTCTCCCTGGCCATCTCCCAGGTGAATGCCTGCGTGATTGCGGGCCTGGAGGATGCCAAGATCCTCATCTGGGACCTGGTCACGGGCAACTGCAAGAGCACGCTGATCGGTCACAATGCTCCGGTGACGTTCTTGAAGCTGGATCCGCTGGGCAAGGTGCTGCTTTCCTATGACAAGGAGGGCCGCGACTCCGCCGTCCGCATGTGGGAGTTGAACTCAGGTAAGCATAGCAGAATCATTATATTCTGCATCTTTTACACCTTCTCCTTTCTTTCAGCCAAATCCCTGGCCGTGTTCAAGCCACCGGCGCAGGTCAGCACCTGTGAGATCCTGCCAAACGGGGCCTTTGTGGTGCTGGCCCTCAAGGATCGCAACTCCCTGCTGACCCTGGCCTTGAAGAACTACGGCGGCGGTGCGGTGGACGCCCTGGACGATGACTGCGGCACTCTCTACGGCAATCCGGACAACCAGCACAAAGTTTTCGACTTGAGTAATTAAATCAATTAACGCTAGTTATCATTATTCAAATTATAAATGAAACCTACCACGGGGAATTATTATAAATATGGCAAACAAATTTCTCATGCATAATTCATTAGATGTATGTAAAATTCTTTGAGCAAATCTTACCAAATGTACAAAGCAAAGAAAAATCCAAAGAAAATTAAAAATTTGAAAATCTACTCAGTTGATGGCGGTGTTCGTAAGTTCTTTATGTGGTGGCAAACAGATACAGCAGGTTCTTGGCAAACTGGATGATCTCAGTGCCTCCCAGCTTCGAGGTGCCATAGATGCGGTCCACGAAGGTGATGGGCACCTCGGCGATGGTGTAGCCGTGCTGCCGGGCCCTCACAAGCATCTCCATTTGGAAGACATAGCCCTTGGACACGCAGCTCGCGATGCATTTCTCCAGAACGTCCTTCTTGTAGAGCCGGAAGGAGCCAGTCAGATCACTGGCATCCGGACGGAGGAGCACCTGGGACAGAAAGTTGGCGCCGCGCGAGATGAGCTTGCGCTTAAAGTCCCAGCCAAAGACGCCTCCATTTCCGGCGTACCGAGTGCCGGAGACAATGTCGTAGTCTCCCTGCTGCTGCAGCTTGATGAACTCCGGGATGAATTTGGGCTGCAGCGGAATAAAAACACGTATTAGTTTCGAATATTTCTCCCTGTTATCAGAGCTCACATGATGACTCAAATCCGCATCGATGATAACAATAAAGTCACCGGTGGCATGTTTGATGCCATGTATGTAGGCGGTCCCGAGGCCCAGCTTGGAGCCCCTGGGTCTTAGCACGATCCTGTCCTCGCCGTAGATCTTCTGCAGATCCTTGGCCACGTCCAGCGTTCCATCCGGACTGCCGTCGTCAATAACAATCACCTCGTATTCCAGACCGCTGAAAATATACAGCTTTAAGTGCCTGCTTTTTGTCTACTTAAGAAGCCGCTACTCACCTGGCCTTCATGTATTTCACAATTAGCCATATTATGATGGGCAAATTGTCCTTCTCGTTGTAGGTGGGCAGCAGTATGCTGTATTTATGGGCATTTGTTGGCATGGCTAATTATTCCTCAGAACTATTTACTTCTAATTAAATTTCGAGTAGTGTTGGTAAGTATCAAAATTAAAGCAGCTGTTACCAATCGATAACCCTTTTCGATAGCATTTAGTTAGTTGGCAACGCGAAAAGAAATTGTGAAGGAATTTTCTGAGAAAGTTTAGTTCGCAAAGGACCGTTAAAAGAAATTGTTCGCTTTATGTGCGGATTAGCCAAAATCGTAGGCTCAGTTGTGCGCTTTTGACGTCGTCAGCATGGCCAAGAAAATACCTTTTAACGTGGTCTTTGCGTCAGGTAAACAAACATTGGGGGATTTTTAAACGCTCAACAGCAAATAGACTTTTATTTGTTTCCATAGTTTGCCTATTTGTTTTCCTCGTTTTATGTTTTCCCCACGTTTTTAATTATATTTTGAGTTGTGTCTGGATTGGACTGAAAACAGAAGTTTCGCCACCTCCCATCCTTTTCTTTAAAGTCCACAGCACTTGAGAAATCGATAAAACACGCATACGCCTAGTGCGCCATGACGTTGGGATTTAAAAAGAGGAATGGCAGAGCCCTTTTTTTATTCGCAGCTAATATTAACTCTTCCACAATGTTAGCTGCTAAATCAATTTGCCTTGGTCCCGGCCAATTTACCACGGGCTAAAACCACTGCAACCACACGATGACCATAATATTTCATTTTAATATTGACAGATTGCCTGCCGGTTGTCGGCTTCTTTTGCGTCTGCATATGCAATTTTTAGTGGCGTCTGCATATTTCAATTTGGCTGGAAGCCAAACTCTTTATTTTTGTATGCTAGGACCTGACACTTTCCGGTTAGCCTCACTGGCCACAGCCTCATCCTCTCCAGCATCGCCTACTGGGTCTGTTCCGCCCTCTTCCTGGATCGGTATTTAAGTTTAGTGAGGAGCGATGACACCGGCGCAATGATGGTGAGCACATAGACCAGCGAGGTGACCAGCATCATGCCGGGTATAAAGTCATTGTCCACGAACTTGGTGAAGAACTTGGAGTAGTAGCCCAGGTAGATGGCTCCCATGCCCAGACTGAAGGTGACCAGGCCGAAGAGGTTGTGGCGGAAGCGCATCTCCGACGGCGGCATCACTTTCAGGGCGAACTTGGGCTGGAAATAGTTCACGAAACCACCCACAATGCTGGCTGCACAGCCAAAGGCAGCAGCTCCTCCTGGAAAATGGCATTCAGATTAGTTACACCCAAAGAACTCAATTATATATATTATGTAGACTCACCCACGCGGCCGTGCCAGGTGTTAAAGTGCACCTCCTTGCTGGAAAACTTGCCCAGGGAGCCCAGCAGGACCATGGAGCCGCCCACGATTTGCAGGATGGCGTGGAAGCGCGACTTGTTGCGGTGCGACAGCCAGCGGGTGAGCGGGTTCACTTTGGAGTGTGACATCATGGCCTGGGCGATAAGGACGTGGAACTGTCGAGAGCAGGGAAAGCCTTTTAAATACAGCGCTTCAACTTCGATAAAATAACATGTGACGTTGCATGTCCCTTATCCAGGTCAATCTAACAGTATTGATTATATTGTCGGAATGCTTATCGCACTGTACTCACTCCAATGCCCGTCATGAACATATGCATGGCCGTATCCTTGAACTCCAGGCTGCGGGCCAGGACGAAAAAGAAGGCGGCCACCAGGAAGATCAGCATGTGGTTAATGCTATTCAGCAGGCTCTGGATTTGCAGCCAGGCAGTGGCTTTCGTGTATCCCTCCGGCATTTTGCGTTCTTTTCTCTCCTCGATTAATTGACTTTAAGTCAGTTATTTACACTATAAGATACCGTAGGTATTTGTACTATCAGATACTGGGCGGCTGAGTGACGACTAAGCTAGCAACATGCTCGCCATCGCTTAAATACAAAACAGAGAACGTGGAACCTGAAGATAGAGAGAAAGAGAGAGCAGTAATTGAGATATGGTGTTATAGATGGGGTTGATTAAATAGAACCAATCTAATGACATTAATTTACAAATTTATGATTCAGTTTACTGTCGCTGTTTTATAATTTTAACAAATAACAAAGCATGTTTTATAAATTTCTAAGATTTTTAAATTTAGAATTTAGTTTTGCCTAACAGTATTTCTATTTTGACCGCGGCTGTTGGTTCAGCTCAAGAGAACGGATAAGAGTAATGTTATCACTATCATGTGGAAAAGTTTAGCTGAGTGTGCGGAAAAAGAGGCCGCCTAAGAGAATTATTGTCACCTGCCGAAAAAAACTTTATTAGCCAATGCAAGTAATGATGATTCGATCATTTCGTTGAACTTTCAGACGAGGATGTTAACTTTCCGGCCAGCGAGCTCAACAACCACGGACCCACAGTCCACGGATGGCGGAGTGCTCCGGACGGCAGCCTCACCTCACACGACATAATCCTCCGTTTCCAGCAGCCGGCCAAGATCTATCGCATCCAACTGTTGGCCCACCAGTATCTTATTCGTAAGTTAATGAAATTCCGATATTAATTATTAATTTTAGCCACTCTCAAGAGATCTTTGAACTGACTTTTTAGGTGATAGGAAATAGAGCCCTGCATGAATGGATTCAATGATTTAATTTGAATTTTTTGTTTTGTGAATGAATTTATTAGAATTTTGAGTTTAATAGAATTGAATGAATGAATGGCATGAATTCCGAAATAATTCAAACGACAATTTCTTTTGAAAAGGAAAGGGCCATTATTTTGTGATTAAATCTGCCTGAATTTTATTTACTATGCAGTTAACTTTAATTTGTTAAAAATGTTCCACTTTTTGTTCTCAAAAGAAAGCACAAAAATAAACTGTCAAATTCAAAAAATTCATATAAATTATTCATTCAATTCGAAATGAACAAGAAAAACATTCAGTTTATTTGAAATAAATAAATAAATTATTTCACATAGAATTGAATCAAACAAATCAGAAATTTCATAGCATACTATGATAAAACAAAAATTAATGATTCACGCAGGGCTCTATTAGGAAATCAATTTGACTAAAAAGCTAGGGATTAATCTTCTCGATTTCCTAATAATATTATTTTCTTTTCTCTAAACAGCTGAGAAAGTGGAACTCTGGCTGCACTACTCGCCCAAATCCCTGCCCAGCACTCCATCCTCGCAGTACTTTGACTTCCTGGGCTTCGTTGCTCTGGCGGACAATGCGAACACCAACTACAAGTCCCGGGAGCTGCAGAGCGTCACCGTGTCTCCTCGGCGTGGCACCCATCTAAAGTTGCGACTGATTGGCGTCCAGGGCAACGACTACAATGACACCGGTCAGATTTCCCTGCTGGCGGTGAATGTCCTGGGCGAGGATCTGGAGGTGGGGCCAAGTAATGGCAACGGCGAGGAGCACTTGGTCAGCGAGGCGCCGCCGCTGGACACGGCAACCGGTGAACTAGCCTTGGCCTCCATCTGCGACGACCTGCTCTTCTCCATGTACGTCGAGGAGTCCATTGTGCAGTCGATCCGAAAGCTGGAGCAGCGCAAGATCTTGGCCGTCAGCGCCGAGAGATTCGAGTATGCCCGCAAGCTGAAACTTTGCATGACCGCCTTGAGAAGCGCCGGTGAGCGTTTGGGTCGCTATGCCCTGGCCAAGCGGCAGGCCGTCCGGCAGGAGGACTTCACGACGGCGCGGCTGCGCAAGGAGCAGATCGAGATGTACCGGGCGGCAGTCCTCCGGCAATTGCAGGTGCATCAGCTGCTGGAACCGCAGGGCGTGGCTCTGAGCTCCAACGATCAGAGTTGCGAGATCTATGCGGGCGGGAAGCCCAGCCTGCCGGCGGCTCCCAGTCTGCAGGATGTGGCCCAGGCGCTGGCTGAAGCCACATTCAGTCCCAAGAGCCTGACGAGTCTCAGTTTGGACGACAAGTCCTCCACGGATGGCTCGCAGGGACAGCCTGGTAATTATAATGTGGTTACAGCTACCGCTGCCGCTCCCGCTGCTGCGCCCGCCTCCCTGCAGGCCACGCCCACTCCCACGCTGGGCGGCTGGCGCAAGTCGCACGACGAGCTGCCCCAATCGCCGCGTCTGCCCTCCAGGCACAGTTCACCCATGTCCAGCCGACAGGGATCGCTGCGCAGGCGCAACAAGAGCGTGCCGCGCAATTCCTACGAGGACTACGAGGAGCGGGCCATTCCCACGCTGCGACAGTGAGTACCCGGTGTAGAGAGAGGCGTAATCGTTGTCTGGTTGTCTAGTAAATAGGTAAACAATTGTGGAATAGTAATTACTTTGTTTTGTTTAAACAGCTGTTGCATGAAGACTCGTTGTTCGTAGTTCTAGTTTGAATGTTTGTCAACACTAGTGCTCAAACGACTGATCAACACTAACCGGTAACGGTTTTTTAAATTTTGAAAATGTTTTTAAAAAGAGTTTGTTTTAATGCGGTATAGAGGAGAAGTTGTCGAAAGAAGATTGCGATATTTAGGTAGCTAAAAGATAATTACATTTTACAAATACAAGAAAAATTAAATTTGGTCTCCATTTTTTTTTTTTTTTGTAGTATAACTCAGAATTTAATACATTGATCAGCCAATTTAATGGCTATAAAATGTAGAGTACAAACAGGAACAAGTAATATGAATACATAACAGAATTTGTATAACATATTAATATTAGATAGTTTTTTTAATTTCTTCGTTAGTCATTTGGGCTTTTGAAATTATTTTATAACGACGTTATTTATTAATACCAAGATTACATAATTTATAGGAACTATTTTAATTTTTTTCGAGGACCTTTGCTAATACTATTTGTGTTTTATTTACCAGTACCAGTAATTTACATACTTTTCTACTCCTATATATGTATATTGTAACCGCATCCGTAAACGTTGCCATTCCGATACCACACACGAAAAACCGCTCACAGTTCAAATACTAATGAATTTTTAAGGGAGTGTCAAGGCAACGCGCTTCTGGAAGCGGATCCCAACCGGGGACGTTCGCGATTAAATGACCGCGAGCGCCGCCAGGCAGCTTTACCCATCCTGGTCTTCGGCAGTGAGCTGGTGAGTCCCCCAAAATGATCTAATTAACTTTCATGTTTATTTATAAACATTTTCCCTTTTTTTCCAGGTGGAGCAGTTCTACTCGCGCCAATTTCAAGACCGAGAAGATGGCCTGCTGCGCCTGCGCAACTTCCTAAAGGAGCACGACCCGGTGGAGGCGTCGGGCAACGAGCACGCCGCCAGTCCCAACAAGGTGGCTCGCAGCGCAGCTCTGCTGCTCCATCGCGCGGTAAGGGATGCCGTTTACTCCGTTTTCGGCCAGGCCACGGAGACGGTGCGCATGCTGTTCCTGGAGTACGTGCCCGGACGCGTTTCCCCCAACGAGGTGGCCCGTTGTGTGGATCGCTTACTCCCCGAACTGCTGGCCAAGTCTGGCGATCCGTCGGCACGACTGCACACCCTGGCCCAGCACACGATCCTCAGCATCGCCGCCTGTCCAGAGGTGGCGGAGCAGCACCTGGTCGCCCCGGCACTATCGCGTAGCGTTGGATCCGGAACCCATCAGCGACTCGCGATGAGCCGACTGCAGATGCTGGAGCAGCTAGTCCACACGCAGGGCATTAGCACGGACAAGCACAGTGGACTCACCTGCAGGGCATTGTCCGAGTGCGGCTGCTCGGGCATCCATCATCCGGCGGAACCGGTGCGAAAGGTGGCCGAGCGCATCCTGCTGCTGGTCTACAAGGTTAATCCTCGTCTAGTGCGCAAGCAGCTGCCCCCGGATGACGACATCACGCGACGGAATCTCTTGTACCGGCAGCTCTTTACCGAGTTCGACAAGTTGGATCTGGATCGCAAGCAGGAGTTGCTGGAGGCCAATAAGTACAGCTCAGGGGATGCGGCAACTCCACCCGCGGACAAGGCCTCCACCAGTTCGGATGCTTCCCGGCTGATGAACAGTCGGAGTGGACATGGTCTTGGGCCAGTGAGCAGCTCCAGCAATGGCTATGCCAGCTGCAATGGAAAGCAGCAGTACAATGAGCAGCTGAAGCGATCCATGCTATCCGTCTCCAATTCGCGCAAGGGATCCGCTTCCAACTCGGAGTCCACCGAAGACAACACACCCAAAATGTGAGTATTACGAAATTGCAGAGACTTTGTTTTAGAGTATTTATACTCGTAGAGTAAAAGGGTATATTGTATTCGTGCAAAAATAATTTAACGGGTAGAACAAAGCCTTAAATCGCCTTAAACGATTGTTAAAAGGTGTCTGGCGCCCAAACTTTAAAAGATTTCGGAAAAGTAATAATGCAGTTTTATGGTGCTTATCAATGCCTATCGAAATGTAGAAGAAATGCTTTAAATCGGACCATTTGTTAAAAAGTTATGCGCGATCAAAGTTTTATGTCTCCATCTCCCTCGCACTCACTCTAGCTAAGTAACGGGTATCTGATAGTCAAGGCACCTGACTTGTTTGTAAATGTTTATAAAAATTCCTTTAAATATTTTGTAAGATATCTCTTTACAACTGTTATATTAATGTAAACCATTTTTTTAGTCGCTGTCCTTTTTGCGATTGGTCATGTGTTGGCAGTGACGCCAGCCAGTTGGACCGACACTACTGGAAGTCCTGTCCTTTTTTGTCCAAGTGCCCACAATGCAGTCAAGTGCTGGAGGTAGCCGCCCTCAATTACCACCTGACAAGTAAGTTTTCAAGGAATCCCTAGGTAATAAGATATAATTACTATTGGTATTAACATTTTACAGCCGAATGTGATGCCAAGGAGAGCTATGTGGTCTGTACCCGGTGCACTGAATCGGTGCACAAGCAGCTGTATGAGCTGCACCAGATGGAGGACTACTGTCGGGGTAAGATATAAAAATTTTGATAAATTTTTTAAGTCACTATTTCATTAATTTATCCTCCACAGAACTGAAAACCGGAGCGGCACGGTGTCCCCTCTGCCATGACGATGTGCACCTGCCTCAGGATGGCGGCTGGAAATTGCATCTCCTCAGCGCCGGCGGTTGTCCCGGGAATATACGCAAAAAGAATCTCAAAAAGTCAAATTAGGCACCGTAAAAATAACCGATCTATTGGCATGCGTAGCGAATTTATTAGAGCAACTATACTAGTCAGGAGGCTTACTCGAGGGAACTAACTAATTGCAGCCACAACCATTTAGTTAATTAAATCAATTTGTTCATCACACTCAAACGTTCATTTAGAAACATTTTGTTAAGCCTATTAGTTAGATTTATTATGTGCATTCATTTGTATTTCTTTGTAAGCAATGTGATTTGTTAACGGTAACACGAATTTTTGAAACGTCCTTACAATAAATAAAGCCCATCCATACAGTTTTAAACATAAATTCGAATTTGTCTTATTCTCTAGTCGCCCGCCTTTTAAAGCGCATTTGAATGCTGAGCCCGCCTCCGTTAATAAATTTTTAATTGCCTTGCATATAAGGCATATGCAACACAATTGCAAGATTGATTAAAAATTGATGGCTATATGGGGACAAAGGCGGTCATGGGAATAGAAAAACTGCAGCTCACAACGTTAGAAGTCAAATTTTTTCAATTGCCATTAAAAATAATTATATTTATCAAGGGCAATTTAAATTTCCATTAGATTAAAGATAGGTTTGGTTTGTTATATTTTGACTCAGTTATAACATTGCGGCGTGTTTAACTTTTATGGAAAATATGGTTTTTATTCAATACGTTTGGAAAATAAAAACCAAACAAATAAATTAGCTCTGTTATTTTAAATTAAATTAAATATTTTAAAGGGAATGTTTAATACAAATGTCAATAACTGCAGCGCTGCTATTTTTGTGGACCGTGCTGTTTCAAGTGTTGGAAAACATCCCCAAAGTGTGTCAGTGTTGGTGGCTGTGCGTGTGCAAGCGTGAAAAAAACAGCCGGCAGCGGCGACAACAGCAGCGGCAGAAAAGAAACAGTTTTCGCAATAAAAATAAACGCGAGGCCCTAGCTGAAAATCGTGCCCAGCATTTTGGCTCCGAGTTCGGTTAACGTTCTGTCATCACACACAATGTTTTGACCAATTCAGCTAATTAACGTCGAAAGTGTTCAGGCGTTTTATCAAAAAACCCCCCGCCTCCGCCGCTCTCCTTTTGGAACCGTCGCGTGTTTTTCCGTTTAGATTAAAATACTTGAAACCCGCGATTTCGACTCGTAGCCCCAAAAAAACTGAATCAAAAATGGAGAAGCTAATCAGGCGACTAATGGACCACCAATATCTGACGCGGGCCCAAATCAATGGGTTCGACAACTACAAGGTGGGCCAGAGGATTCATATAAAGGATATTCGGGGGCGGCTGTACCTTCCCTTTGAGAGGGGGTGACCTTCCCGGGTCCCGAGAAACCAAAACCAGTTCTTGGTACTCCGTACTTGTTTTCAATTAAAATTCTTTTTATAGAAAGCCACCGGACAAAGCAAAAAAGAAAATGCAAAAAAAAAGAAAGCCATTGAAATAGTCATTAAACCTGCGATGGTGATGAGTTTTTTCCCCGTCTTTAATCAGAAATTTTTACTTACAGTACAGCGCCATCGACACCTCCCCGCTGAGTCAGTATGTGATGCATCCCTTTTGGGATTGGCTAGTCAAGGTGAGTGGTCCGCACAGAATTATATCATGCAAAAATCAATACTCATATGGGGGCGCAACCCACCAAACCATCCCTCCCACCGCAGTTCTTCCCGCGCTGGTTTGCGCCCAACCTGATGACCTTTCTGGGCTTCCTGTTCAGCGCCATGAACCTGGTGCTACTCTCCTACTACGACTGGAACTTCGAGGCCAGTTCCGGGGAGGAGGGCACCACGCCCATTCCCTCGTGGGTCTGGCTCGCCACCGGAATCAACATCTTTGTGGCCTACACGCTGGACGGGATTGATGGCAAGCAGGCGCGTCGCATCGGTTTGTCCGGTCCGCTGGGCGAGCTCTTCGATCACGGACTGGACTCCTACACCGCCATGCTGATCCCGACGTGCCTGTACAGCATTTTCGGACGCAGCCGGGTCTATTCGGTGCGACCGATGAGAATGTACTATGTCTGCCTGACGGTCTACTTCAACTTCTTCGTTTCGCACTGGGAGAAGTACAACACGGGCATCCTATATCTTCCCTGGGGCTACGACGTCAGCATGTGGGGCAGCACGGCCATGTATCTCGTTACCTGGTGGATGGGCTTCGAGCGCTGGAAGTTCGAGTTGCCGCTGGGATCCTACGGAACCCTGCCTTTGGGCAATGTCATGGAGGCGGTGCTGCATGTCAGTGCCATGGCGAATCTTCCACTAGTCATTATTAATGTGTATAAGTAAGTCTCCTGTTTTAAGTTTTTTTCAAATGCTTTATTAAACCTGCTTAATCTTTAGCTCCTATGCGCATCGGACTGGACGCCTTCTGTCCTTCTGGGAGGCCATTAGGCCCATGTGGCCCTTCCTCACCTACTTTGTCATCCTGCTGGCCTGGCCGTACCTCTCGCCGAACGACATCATGGAAAAGGATCCACGCGCCATTTTCATGCTCAGCGGCACCATCTTTTCCAACGTCAGCGTAAGTCATTTAAACTATTATCATATAATATTTTCATTATTTTATTTTAAAGTAACCTAGCTTAAGGGCAAAGCAGCTATAGCTACTATTAAACACCAAGGTTTTAGGCAAATTATAATTTCCTTTTTAACCTGACAATAAATAAATAAATAAATATTTTAAAGTACCGATAAAATATTAGGAAAATTTGAGATGATGTTTTTTTTAGGATATTTAGGATACAGAGAATAAGTTGTTTATAATTATTGTAAAAAAAAGTAATCAGTTACCGCGGTGTTCCACTCCACTTATCAAACCGTGTCGCGTGTAGGTTGAATCATACGCAATCTAGATAAGAAACGGGTGTGTCTACATCTTTTGCTGGCCCCTTGGCACGGAGTTAACTGCCAAACAGCCACAAGCCACTTTAATGAGTCATTTGACCGGCCTGACCCATATCGGCTTTTGACTGATAAAACGCACGCCGGTTAAACAGTCCGAAATGCCACCCTTTTGTTGTGGTGGCCGACGCTGTGCCAAGGATCTGGAGGGAGAGAAGCAGAATGAAGATGGTCGCCAGTCGCTAAGGGAGACTATATACACCACCACCGCGGAATATGAGCGCCCCTTGTCGCTGAAGTTTTACGCCCGCCACGACTGGCCGTACTTCAATTGCACGAGCCAAGAAGTGCGACACATTCGCGAGAAGTTGGATCCGGAGTCCCTGCAGAATGCTCGGAAAATAGCCAGCCATGACGAGGGTAGCGAGGAGAAGTACGAGATGAAGCACAAGACGCCGCAGCCGATGACTTTCAACCAGATCTACGGTTGGTATTCGGATAGAGCCTACCGCTATCTGAAACGAGATCGCGGCACTTTCGTCTTTCCCCACGAGAACGATCCAATGATTGAGCAGATATTAAGAAACAAACTGAAGCGTTCTTAAAGATTCTAGTGTGTTATAAATTTTAGTCAGTTTACAGCAAATATATTTCCAATTCGACAGCATTGAATTATAATATAATTCACAAATTCTCATCTGTTGAAATTCGGTTGGAATTTGTACCTATGTTGTTATGGTGGCAATTTGTATTTACCTACATACATGAATTCTATAATACGACACCGCGAATTCTTTAGGGCCAGAGGAACAAATATTGACCGCCGTAAAAAATTTTGTAGTTTTTTGGTCAGAAAAGAGGGGATATTCTCTTACTTTTATTTTAAAATTCTGAAATAACAGTTGCTTCATGTCTTATAAATAAAAGGTGGTGACTTTTAAAGTAAAACTTATAACTGTACGGTCCCTGAATTATATGTCTTTTGATTTACAATTTGTAGAAGCCAATCAACTAATTTAAAATTTTAATTCTTATATTACAGTGTCGATTGATTGTCTCCCAAATGTCCGTGACGAGATGCGAGGCGTGGCACTGGCAGACGCCCATGTTCGTGCTATCCTTCCTGGTCAGCTTGTGGCTGCCTCTGCTGGAGCGTCCTCTGCTGTACATGCTCCTGATTGTAACGACCTTGAGTCACTGGCAATACGGAGCTAGTGTGGTGAACCAGATGTGCGAGCACTTCAACCGGATCTGCTTTACTGTCCACAAGCGAGTGCCGGAGGAGAAAAAGAAGGTTCTGCTGGCAGAGCAAATCAGCCAGCCAGATCAGTCAAATCAAGAGGAGCCGTCGAAGAAAAAGGATTAGGGCTTTGGATTGCGCGATTTTGATTTTCATTTTGAGCTGCGAGTTATTTTGCAAGTTTTTTTGTACATCATGGAGGCTGTTTAGTTAAACAATTCTTGTGAGATTATGTATAATTTGTCTTAGTTAGAATATACTTAAAAATTGACTTTATCCTAGTGCTACAATAATAATTGGAGCTTGTTTCGGCATATTCCCAATGACTATTTACGTAATGCTCTCTTCCAATGATAATTTTTAAACTCTACGGTTTAATCGCAACTTGACCTTATCTGTATTGAATTCAAACCTTATTGACCCAAAGTAGATCAATTATATGAACAATTAAGCATGACAAGTGATCTGAACTGCAGCTAAGATATCAAATAAGTATTAGCAAATAGGTTATAATATCGGCCAGACAAGTTCCAGTCCATAAACTCAATTATGCAAGAACAGAGCAGCTTACTACTTATTCTAGCCTTTAGCTTTCCAATTTTATTGCAATGGTTATCCTTAAGCCAAAACTACCGCTCGCTTCCGCTGACCTTAAAAATAGCATTGTTTTATATTCGTCTAGACATAATCGAATAGTTTCCATGCGCTATGCCTAATTTATTTCCATTGTATTACTTTTAAATGCTCCACAATTGCAAATACACACACTACATCAACGTTTCTAACTAAAATAACCGCAAAGACCTCTAATTATTTAAACACATAAACATATTCATTATTTTTAAAGCAAATCCCAATGTCATTCAACTGTAATGTGACGTCGTCCATAGCGCCATTGCACGCTTTATTGTATGAAATCTATTCATGTACCCCCCAAAAACCGGGCTCCCTCGAACCGCACGTTGTGTAAAAGACCAAACAGTATACAAATAAAACAAAATATTTTGAAATGCTCACACCGAGTTTTAAGATGAGTTCGTCATTTGATTTATGACTGTATGCTGACCGCTTTTGTCGAGATTCCAGATCGCAAAGTAAACATTTTGCCTGCTTATAAATACATTTGTAGGCCATGATGACAGCTGGAAGTCCTTAATCACACTCGAATTAAATTTACAAAATCAGATTGTAAGTTAGAAAAAAACAAATTTAGGTTGTGGAATTTATTTTATATATCGCAATGCATATTAATGGAAACAGTTTAAAAAGGGGTTTATATTTATTTTATATATCGCAATGCATATTAATGGAAACAGTTTAAAAAGGGGTTTATAAAGTATTATAATACTCAAAAATTATTGAGAGGTTTTTTTAAAGGATATGGAGTTCGATAAGGTAGAGTTCAACAAACTGACAATGAAGGTTACAAATTGTATTTATAGATTGTAAGTTATAAGTAGACATCGGATTTTAGTTGAAATTGTTTTTTTTTAAATACAATTTAAATCCACATTTGATAAGTTACAAATTTTATTTATTAAGTTATAATTAGATTTCGGCCAAACTTCATTGAGGTTTTTGTAAAAAGATTTTAACCAATCAAATGTGGCTTTAAATCATATTTAAAAAAAAAAACGATTTCACCTAAAATCCGATGTCTAGTTATAACTTAGTTTACCTTGTAACTTACAAGGTATATCTTTTCCACTTAGGCCTCGAATTCTTCTGTTATGGTCAGAATCTGTAGAACTCTATTTATGACCGCACCTGTTAGTACATAGGGGCTGCACCTATGTTTGGCGAAGGCATAAATCAAATTAATAGAACCCTCATGATCGGATTGATATCGTTTGCTCAGGTGACAGCCGCCTGGGATGCGTACGTGATGTGGCTGTTAGCCCAGTGAATAAGCGAACAAAACGCTTCCTCATTAGCTAATTGGCGTGAAAATCGACTACTAGCCCCACTGTGCCGGACGATGGGAACCGCGGCGACAGCCCCTCCATCTCCGCCCCCGCCTAACGGCTGGCCAATATCAATAAACGGAGATGGAGATGGACGCCCCGGCTACCAAGTCACGCCGTCGAAATGGGCACGGCCGAACAAAAAGAGACGGTCAGAAAGTAAGTGGCATAAATAAAAGCAAAACCAGAACGAGAATCGAGAAGAGAGAAGAAAGCCGCAGTAGCAGAGGAGTTACACTGAAACAAAAATGGGTACGAAATGGATTATAAGACATCCTTATAAGACTTTGTAATAATATAAATTCAAAAAAAAACTTTCATTCAAAAATTTAAAAAAAATGAATTTAACTTGATATGTTATTTCTAACATTATTTTGGGTAAGGTTTTTAGTCAAGACATTTGTATTATAAATTATTTTTATTAATTAATATTAATATTAAAAATTGAAAAGTAAAAAAACATTTTTTGTTAAAGATATGTGATCTTTAACCCTATTTTAAGAAACGTTATTATTTAGAAATGTTAAATTTGTCAAGTATTTACTTGTGGGTATGGGCCACAAGGGTTTTCTTACTATTAAGTCGCAAAAAGTGCCTAAAAATCGAAAATTTTGAACTTTGACCACGGATTTCTCAAAACTTCGACGTGATGGAAAGTTTTCAAGTATGAGGTAATAATCTACAGCTAAAATCCTTTCAGGTTTGTTAGCATTTATTATTGGGCTTTTTTTTGTCGACCAGTGTAATTAATGAAAATATTCAATTATTTTAAAAGTAATTTTATAGAATTGAAAGTTTTATAAAATTGAAAAGTTAAAAAACATTTTTTTGTTAAAAATATGTGATCTATAACCCTATTTTGAGAAAGGTTTTCCAAGTATTTAATGAAATTATTCAACTAATTTAGAACTAATTTTACAAAACCCCTTATGAATTTCATATTATTTTTCTCAGTGCACCGACGACGGCAGCGCCAGAATATGAAAGTTGCGCCTGCGCCGACATCGCAGCTCCCATCGGATTGGGAATCAGTTGCGAGGCAGAAGCGCGCGAGTTAAGAACGCCGAGCGGAGCAACCTGACCTGGAGTTCTAAGATCAGCAAAGAGAGATGGCCTGGAAGACTTTCACGCTTTTACCCCTGCTATGGGCAGCCACCCTGGCCAACCCATTGAGCTCCACAGTGGAGCCATTTACCCCACCAGCTCCCAACACCGAGACGCAGCCGCAGGTCATCAAGGAGGAGCACTTCCCGGCCATGGCTCCGCCGCAGGCTATCGAGTCCAGCGGTTCCAGTGGCCAGCCCATTCTACTGCAACCTCCTCCTCCGCCAGCTTTGCCCAGCGGAGATGAGGATGCACTGCGTCGCCGAACCATCACCTACGATCAGCGGCAGGAGGGGCAGTATAACATACGCGCCGATCTCGAGAACTTCATGATCCTGCTGATCCCACCTGGACCGCAGGAAGGTATCAGTCTGCTGGAGCTGCTGGGACGGGGAAACACCAAGGGCAGTGGAGCGCTCAAGCGGAAGCATCCACTGAGGAGCAACTCCCTGAAGTCCTACTACCAGAAGAGTCAGCTCCAGAAGCTGCAACAGCAGCAGAATCATCAGCAATCCTCGCCAGCTGTGGCTCTGCCGGAATTCATCGAAGGACGCTCGCCCTATCACGTGGACATCTCGGCCAGCGATCCGGAGCAGGCGCAACGTCTGCAGCGCCAGCAGGTGGACGTACTGCCTCCTCAGTTGATTCCCATGCCGCAGCTGATCAAGCCCTTCCATCTGGAGGCGGAACCGGAGCTCATTCAGGCCCTGCCCCCCGTTTCCGCCAGCAGCAGTGCTGGCTCCAATCTCCTCGAGAGCTACAACCATCCAGGATCGCAGTACTTCCGCAGTTCCCGTTCCCTGCGAGGTGACAGCTATCTGGATACCAATCGTCTGACCGGAGGTGGTGACTATGGCAGTCCGCGCTCCATCAGTGCGCCCATCTACCGCAGCGATCTTGGTGCCAGCGGAGCCCATGGTCTTTACCCACCCATCGATGTGCCGTCCTACTTCTCGGATCAACCCCGCTCCTGGCAGCTGGACGAGGAGCCCACCAGGCCACAGGCGGTCGAACCGGAGATCGTTAGCTTCGATCTGTTGGCCGATGACGACCTGACCGAATCCCGAACCCTTCTGCGCGACGGCTTGGCCCGCTGTGCCCGGGGGGAGCGGCGGGATAGCTACGGAGCCTGTCGCAAGATCGAGGGCTACTGAGGAGGAGTGAGAACCGCCAGACTGCCAGCCTAAATAGTTAGTTTCATACTTTGCACACTCTAGAATTAAGCCGACAAAATCTTCTTACCAATAAATACAGAAACTTAATCGTCACTGAGAAAAAATATTAAATGGGTTCATAAATAATAATGTGTTGTGGATGATAAAAGTATTTCATTTCATTTTATTAAAACATTTATTATATTATTTTTTATTAGCACTATAGTTATGATCTTACTTTCTCTTCACACTAAGCTAGTTAATCACCATTGGGAAGTTTACCTTAGGCTAATAGCGGAAGTGCCTACTAGATCTAACGGTTCGACTATGATCGTAATGATGCGCTGAAGGATGAGGCTAAAATCTTGACAGCCAGAGGCCAGAAAACGGCAATTACTATCCAGAGACAAAGGCCATCTGCTCCGTAATTTGTGCACTGTGCAAGTTTTCTATGCGAAACCAGTTTGCAGGTGGGCGCACCCAAAGGCGGCTACCAGCCTCTTCCTGCGGTCAAGTCATTGAACCTGGGACCAGAACTGCACACAGACGAGATAACTGAAAGAGTCAACATATTTGGGAGGCACAATTAGTATAGTTATAAAGATTTCCTATTTCTTTGCTTGGGCTTAGCTCGAATCGAGGTTATTGGGTTAACATTTTGGGAATCATGCTTACCTGTGTTATTTATAGAGCTGATTGTTGAGGGTTTATAAGAAACGGAGAATATATTAATATGTGGTTTTATGCTTTTAATTGCTAATTGATTCCTTAGGATTAAATTAATAAATTTTTAAAATCTTCGCCTTCGTTTTTTAATACAAAATATTCTTTAACCATTTTCCAGGACAGAGCTAAACCCACATTATAAATTAATACACACAAAAAAAGCATGTCAAGGTAAAATCGATATGGCCATGTAAATTTCAGGTCATGCAAAACCCAAGTCATTTTTATATGAAGTACCCTTTTCGACCTGGTCAAATTTACCGCAGGCCAGGTTAAATTAAAATTGATCTTAAATAAGGTAAAATTGACCTACGATTCATATCGATTTTTTTTGGGTGTATAATAAATATAATAAAACATTTTCTTCTTATGTAGATAAATCATCTAAGTTTGATATAAATATGTTACCTTTTAGAAAGGGATTTGGAATCGGAGAAGACTAGCCAAAGATTTTCTCTGCAGATAGCTCCTCTCGAATGGAACTGCTTTCTTATATGGCTGCTAGGAAGCATTAGAAATGCGCTGAGCTGAAGATTCCCACAGCACCCTGGCAATGCGGAAGTCTTTGGGCTGATCGGCGGCCATTGAACTGTGTCCAGAAATCGGGTTTTCTTGGTCTTCTGGTTCAGGTGGGCTCGCCTTCAGTGCGGCCAAGAATCTGGAATCATTCATTCCACGCCTTTGAAGCACATCGGTCCTGTCGTTTTTCACCTGGGGAAAATGTGCAAGTTCACCAACCGGCTGTTTGTGTTTGCCCTGCTGCTCTTGGCATTTGGAAAACTTCAAGCCCAACCCGTTGGTGGGAAGATTAGGCCAGGGAATTCGAGGAACGTGGTTAGCGACTTGCTGGAGGTCTTGTATGACGACTATTCGGAGAATGGTTTTCAGCGGGAGGACATTCTCTACGACCAAAGGCAAAAGGGCGCCGAGAATTTTCAGCTGAAAGTTGATGGGGTCGTTATTGGAATGGCCCCTCAAATGGGTTCCCACTGGCTTTACACGATGGCCGAATATTATTTGAGTGAGTACGGCCAAAAGTAAAGTAACATTCTATTATAAAGCTGACTTTATCCTTAGGTGAAATGATGTTGCGCCAATCCACTCCAGAACCAGACTCAAATCAAATGTACGAAAAGGATTCTGAAAAGGATTCAGATACGGAATCTGGAGTCCCCGAGGGCATTACTAAAATTCCAGAGACCTCCAAAAATGACTTGGAAAGCAGACAACATCAAATTGTAGCTCCTCAAAACTCCAGCCGGTTAGTTGTGTAGAAAGGTGTAATTGAGATGAAGTATATTCATTTGTATTATTTTTCTAGGACCCCATCTCAACTGCTCCAGCTACTGAAGATGCTTAAAAGTTCCAAGGCCTAAAATTATAAAATCAGAAAAGATGTCAAACATTAAGTTTTAAGTTTTTAGTTTAAATAATCGAAATAAAATCCTACTTTAAAATTAAAATTTTATAGTATAAAGTTTTTAAATATTTATACTTCATTCATATAAAATAGTTTTTATTTTTGTTACAAGGCAAAAATTTAAATATTTTTCCGTTACAAATGCCTGCACAAAAAAGATAATACCAATGGACTTTTGGTAATAAAGGTAGTTACCATATTAAAGAAAGATGTAAATTTCTCTTTAACTAGGTTTTAAAATTTAATTAAAAAAAAATAACCATATTTAATTTTATAATAAGAAGAAAATATTTAAAAAATTTAAAAAGTATGAGTTCAAAATGGACTAGTTCCAAACAGAAAGAAATACCAAAAGCAGTGACTTGTCGATAGCGCGTATAAAATATTTCCATTATCGATAACCAAAATATTATTAATCTCATAATAAAGACCAGCTTTGGCATTACTATACAGATCATATACTAGATCAACCACTGCGGCCCAGCAGGCAGGACCGTGATTTGCAATAATTCTGAGCCCAGTTCGTTCAAGAACCTTCCAGTAACTAGTTCAGATAGTATATAAACCTGCTGCCGAGTCAGCTGCAGTTGTATACACCATCGAACACCCGAACAACTACGACGCAGTAGTCGAGAGCTCCGAATTCGTATTATCTGTCACAATAGTTTGCTGCAACAAGTTAAACGTGAAATAAAACCCGTTATCGAACGAAATACATAAGATATTATACAAAAATCAGTGAAGATATTGCGAAAATGCCGGAAAAGCTGTTGAAAATCACCTATCAGGGAGCCGCCGTCGCTGGACCCCAAAAGAAAATAAACGCATACTTGCGTATGCCCAGCCAGAATTACACCATATTGCGCCGCGAAATAGAGCTATATCTATTCCAGGAACGTCAGCTGCCCAAATGCGACATTAGGACCTTCTGGATTGGTGAGTTTTATAACGAGTAATCCTCTGAAAATAACTGTATATCAGGCTGCAGGTACACAATTTCAATAGACAGCCGAAAATTGCATACGGTTACATATGTACATCTGTGTGCAAATACACACCTACTCAATATGTAACTGCATCCCACAATGCAGTGCTGAAAATTTAGCTATCAGATTAGCTAGATATTTTCTTTTAAAATAGTAGCCAAAAAAAATTGGTTACAGCGATCTGGGATTCACCTAGGCAATATCTTAACTGGACTTTACGCCTTATCAATGGCAAAAAATGTATTGACACATTTGCTGATAACATTTTCTATAGACCCACAGTGTACTAATGTGATCAACATATTACATATTTGAAATAGTACATTCCCTCATTAGAATCATAGATCTATATCTTAATAGATTTTTATGTTTACTCCCTACATATTTTACATTTAATATAGATAGATTTTTTAGTTGAAAACAAGAGAAGTTTAATAAAAATTAAAAAAAATATATTTCTTCGGTAACCATTTTAAAATAGAAAACTTGATTAAATTTGTTATGCCGGTTTGACCACAACTATACCTAATTTGTCTAGCCTGATCCCTTTGTGAATCACCTGCGATAACAAACCTACAATGACTCATGATTGTTTCGCTTTTCAGATACTGACCAGGATGAAATCGAAATTATCAACCAAAATGACTATGAGATTTTCCTGGCCAAGTGCGAGGACAATATGCATGTTCAGGTGGCTCCATTGGCGTCCGTAGAGGAGGAGCCAAAGGCCTTCAAGCAGGAGAGTTCCTCGGCCCACGCTGGAGCTCCTTCCGTCGACGATCCGAGCAATTTCACCATCCACGACTCCGTTGAGTGCGATGGCTGCGGCTTGGCCCCGTTGATTGGCTTCCGCTACAAGTGCATCCAGTGCAGCAACTACGATCTTTGCCAGAAATGTGAGGCAGCCCACAAGCATCCCGAGCACTTGATGCTTCGCATGCCGACCAACAATGGACCCAGCACGATTGATGCCTGGATTACCGGGGGTAATCCATTGGGACGCCGCTGCGGCCGTCGCTCCAGGGGTCACTGCCCCTTCCAGGAGGCAGCTCAGGCCGCTCCCGCTGGCGATTCCGCCAGGGAGAGTCGCCGCGAGCGTCGTCATGCCCGTCGCCATGGCGGTGTCTTGTCCCAGTTTGTGGAAATGATGACCAACTTGCCGTTGAACGAAACTACGGCCACTGCACCTGCAGCTGAACCGGAGAAGCCCAAGGCTGCAGAGCCATCCACAAGTGCTCCCCAAGCTGAGCCCACTGTAACGGCTCAAAAGGCTGCCGAAACCGAAGCCAAGCCAACTGAGCCAAAGAAAATAAACACTGCTCCAACTGTTCCGCCGACCGAGGATCCAGTTACTACCCCAACTACTCCGGTGATCAATCTGGAGAACTTGACTCAGATGGTACCACCCGAGTACATGCGCGCTGGCATCGAGATCCTAAACAATTTCAGCGAAATGTTTGCCAAGATGATCGATCCTGCTGAGACAGGAGATTCGGGAATTTTTGCTCCCTCCATGACTCCCACTACCGAGGCCAAGAAACCAGAGGAGAAGGCTCAATCCAGTGGCCAGTCAACGGCTTCTTCGGCCAGCCAGTCGGCTGCTCCCTCTGCTGTTCCCTCAGCTGCTCCATCGGCCAGCCAGTCAGCTGCTCCCTCTGCTGCTCCCTCAGCTGTACCCTCAACCACTCCCTCTATTTCTGGATCCATCTCCGATGCTCCGTCCGAGACAGAGCCCTTGATTGCCAAGCCAGCTGAAGCTGCACCAGTTTCGGTGACCAACAGCGAGCCAGAGGAGGAAAGACGCCGTTCGGACAGCCCGGACCCGGACTGGCAGGTTATCGACAATGCTTACTCAGCAAACAACACCAACTTGATCAACTTGGAATCGGCCAATCCCACAGCTGCTCCCCAGCAGCCGGTGCGTGACTTTGGCCAGCTGGGCGAACTTCTGCGTCAGCACATCAACGAAGAGGCTCGCGTTGAGCAGGCTACAGCCAACACCCAGACTTCTCAGGTGGATACGGTGACCACGTCGACCTCGACCACATCCGTGTCCACCAATAGCGTCGGCACCTCACCAGCAGCTCCCGAGGAGAAACGCAGTGTTCCCGTCTACCACACTGGTAAGTCCACTAAGAAATCCCTTGGAGATTTGTATTAATTATCTCTTTCTTTTTAGATGAACGCATCAATGCATCCATCCATGCCATGATGGCCATGGGATTCAGCAACGAGGGCGCCTGGCTCACCCAGTTACTGGAGTCGGTTCAAGGCAATATTCCAGCCGCGTTGGACATAATGCATGTCTCGCAGAACCGCAACTAAATATTCATATACATTATCCATATATCTACTATATATCTTCAATATGTATAGGACCCAATGAGAAAAGGGGATTTGTTTTATCCTTTCCGTTACCTATGTAGTTTTAGTTTTTTCTGAGGTGCTTGATTACTCTCGTTACCAAAAAATGTAAGTGAAAATGTATGTATTTTATGTTTTAAATAATCAACAGCTATATATGTGAAATTACAATAAAGGCACAAAATCAAAATGATTCATGTTCTTGGCAAGTTGCTTATAAACTAGTGGGTTTTCCTATATTCCATTGATATGGTTAAGTAGAGTGCGATTGACATAGACAACTAAAGCCTTCACAAACTAGATAACAAAATGTTTAATAAACGAAATTCACAATGAATATGATCATTTCGTTTGCACATTTATCAGTTGCGCATAGCGCATTTACTATTTTTGAGTGATTAATAAATCTACAATACTTAGCTGCGGAATTGGTTTCCTCGCAAATCGCCCTGAAGTATTGATCTTCCAGAGTAACAACTCGCTCATCTATAGAGCTTTAAAGATCTTCTCTCGCTTCAACTGCTTCTGATCCAACAAAATAATTTGTTGCCAATCCAACAATATCCCGTGCAAATCTTCGAAATTCGTAATTTGCTGTAGTTATGGTAGCGATAAATGTGAAGAACTTGAAGAGCTTCTGGTGATGTGCCTTCCACTGTCGTCGCCCGAATCCGGTGTTATAGCCGAACATTTGAGAGACCATTAGGGCTAGAAATCCAGTCAGTCCAAAGAATCGATGGAGCATTTTCAAGGTGAAGCCACCACTGATGAAATACAGCGGAAGACCGGTGAGAACGCTACCTAGCAGAAGAGCACAGCCGATAATACCTGATGGGGAGAGATGGGGGAATAAATTATCATTGTATTTTGGGATAGAACAGGCGAAACCCACCATAGAATGCGTGGTTGCTCTTGAAGTGGCGAACGGAGGCATTGGGATCTTCCCATTTACGCTCCAGCTTTTGCCAAGTCTTAATACCGATCCCACCGACTCCAACCACAAAGGCCAGGAGACCCAGGGCAGCATGTAGGCGGTTAAGGTTTAGAGGACCCAGCCAGGACTCGAGATATGTGCTATTTCGCACTAGCAGCGCCTCGCCCATGAAGAAAACAAACTGTGAATGAGAAATAAACGAAGTTTTTTTATGATTGAGATATATAAATAAAATTCAGAGAAAACGAATGAAACAAATATTATTTCTCCAATATATTAGTCGTTCTGATTAACATTTTATACAGAATTTTAGGATATATGTTGTAAATATCCAAGTTCTAACTATTTTTAACTATCTAAAGATATTAAATAAATTTTAAACAATTTTATTTTTATCAACAATGATAATGTCTTTCTATGAATAATTTAGTTTCTTCAAATGTATCTGATTGTGAATATAAATTGGAGTACTCACGCCGATTGTACAGTAGAAAGCATGTCCAGCCGTGTGTACCAACTTGAGAACCAGACACTTGTAGACGATGGCTGCGGTGATCCCCGCGAGAAGAACATGTGAGATCAGGGTGCAGAAGCCAAAGTAGAAGCCTCCATAGGAACCTTGTAATTCTTCAGTCGTCATTATGTTATGGATGTTATGGAAGTTATCCCTTATCTGCTACGTGAGATGCGCACGTAAAACCGATAAGCTATTGGCACTATAAACTGAAGATCGCGACCGCTCGTGGCGAGTGTTAGAACGCTTTTGACGGCCTGACGGCATGGAACAGCTGGAAAAAGCCACCGAAAGCTCGCGATTCTCTCTCTCGATCCGAAAAAATCACACTTTCAAATCCAAAGCCAGTGGAGCGCGGCGTTCGCAAAAAATGATTCAGCGGATTGCCCCGTTCACGTGTTTTTTACCTTGGGGCGGGAAAGGCGGCAGCAGCCACAGGTGGTATCGATTGGCATTGCTCTCGGGCGGGACTAACTGCGATTATTGCTATTTTTGGAGCATTCTAAAACCGGTTTGGATAATTGGCCGTGCGAATTAATCCGGAATTAATCATGTTCTGCAATATGAGTGTTTCCCAAAAACAGAGTCACGGTAGTGAATATGTGTGTCCTCAATAAAGAAACAAATAATTAAATGATTATAAAAATACAACTTTATTGTGTTATAAATAGTATCGTATTTTTATTAATTTTTTTTATGATACGAAATGTTTTTAATAATTTTTTTTCTATCTCCTACTCTCATAATAGATTTTGTTTAGGTCCACCCCAATAAGTGGGGTGTAGATCATAGATGTTGTGAAATTACTGACAAAAGCAAATGCTCGATGAATACTCAACTAAAAGTAGGCAAAGAGAAATAGATAAGGAACGACAAATGTTTGTGTGGAGAAGTCCATTGTCAGCACTTTGCAACAAAGATTTTTTCCTACAATTTTCCTTTGAAATTACAAAGATTTGTAAAAAGGTTAGAAATGGCACACGTGTCGTATGCGTAATGGGAAATTGGGAAATGTTGAGATCGAAGCAAATGGATTTTCAGATGGGGTGATATGGGAAAGTTCTGCTGCATGTGTCTTCTCTTTATAAACAGTAAAGAAGAATACAAATGTACATATGTACAATTCCGTGCACTCAATGATTGATTAGCCGTTACTATATTTATTGAAGTGTTTACTCGGAATTCTGATATGGGCTGGTCTTAATCGTGACATACGACCTTTTTGGAGGAAAGAGATTTTTATTATGATCACCATACTTTAATGTGTATCTTTAATATTTCAATTCTATGGAATCAAGGTCTGATTGAATTGATCGCAACAGCATTTCTTTGGAAAATACATTGTATTAATACGTAGAAGTAGTTCTAAATTTTATATTTTACTTTTAACAAAAAAAGCCTATGGGCGCACAAAGTTTTGAATACCGTTTTCGGAACCCTAATAATAGTGTAAACTTATCAAGGATTCCTGGCCTCTTAACCTACCCCTTTGGTCCCAAGGTATTTCAAGACAAGAAATACCTCTATAATACCAGGAAATGTAATGTACCCCACAAGAGAGAGCAAAAGGGGAATCACTGAACAGAAATCCAGTTTAGCGAATCTCTCTTATATATACGATAGTATTTCTCAGATATTAGTCATTTCTACATTATATACAAGATTCATTTGCAAAGCGATGTGAAATACTGGCAGTGACGTCATTCTTTGGCAAGCCGAGAGAGACACAAACCAAAACAACAACAGCTGACTCAGAGAGGGAGAGAGTTTTGCCATGCATATAAAACGACTATTCAGTTGGGCGAAGTATTCCTATTCAGACGGCGGTTCTGTTGGCACTGCTAATCAACAAGTTAAAAAAAATAACCCGACCCCTTATTGACACCCAAAAAACATCAACACTTATATTCAATAACGTATATTGGGATTTTACGCGTGAAGAATTTGCTTTTGTGCTTCTGAGAAAATTATATTTGGGTTTTTTTCGAACTCAGCTCATGTACGTAAATCATTTAAATTAGCGAAAAATCTAAATCTTAAATTATTGTGGAAAGCACGAAGCAACATTTACTAGTGACAATTAAAGTGTTAATTATTGAAAAACCCCACAAAATATATACAAAAGCACTTCTAATTTCACCATTGCATGTCCATAGTTCTGTGACAAATATCTGAAATATCATTCATACATAGGAAATCAGTTAAGCCCAGGGGTAAACCCATTTTCTGTTGTTCTATATAAACATTTCAATAAACACGTCAATAGCTCCAACATGAACAGCGTTGAATTAGGAAGTGGGGGTGTGGGCATCCAAGTTATTGTGCCCAAAGTGGCGGTGGGCGTGCTTACTGGCAAGGGCGGCGAAATGATCCGAAAGATTCAAACCGATTACGGCTGCAAACTGGAGTTACTCCAGAAAATGAACGACGAAACGGGCGATCAGAGGTGCCTCATTCAGGGCACTCGGAAGCAGGTCGAGGATGCCAGGAAAGCCATTGATGGGCTGATTAAGAACGCAATGGTAGGTTGAAAAAAAACTTTTTTAAACAATCAAATTTGCTGTAGTTTGACCAATAATTAAAAAAAATTGATTTAACTATTTGAAACCAAAATAATAATTTATTGAGATTGCCTTATAAATATTCTCACTGATTTTAATACTCATTAGATTCAATTATGAAACGTAATAGAGTTAAAAATTTTTTTTAATTCACATAAGGATTTATAATATTATCATCATCATGAGCGTTTTGAAAAAAATTCCATTTTGTAGAATTTTATCTTTTTTTATGTTCAGTGTGCTATATTTCAACATATAATTCTTCTAAAAACCAAGTATGAATGATATCATTTTTGGAGCTGGTCCAAGCGAATACACACCATTATCGATTGCCGGCGTTTTCGTGGCCAGTGTTATTGTTTTGGTTTTGTTTGCTCAGCTCTCGTCATCGATTTCAGTGCACAAACATATAAGCGATCACATACCCACATATAACTCACACTGCCCAGTATTATTTACTTATAATTTTTTATCAGCTTTTTTTTTACGACTTCGCTCGACTCATTTTAAGTCGGCTTCGTCTGCCGGGCTTGGGATTGCTATAACAAATCCGTGGGGCATCAAACCGAACCAGTCCCAGCTCGGCTCTGAGCACCGTCGGTTGTAGCCGCGCTTAACATATTTTCCGCAACAATCCGTTTAGCCAGAGAACTAATTTCATTTTATTTGTATTTTTATTTGGCTCTTCCTGCCCTCCTTTCGACGACAACGCAAACAAAATGCGTCGCGCGGACGCTTTTGCTGTCACGGTCTGTGCCATTTTGGCCCTGCTGCAGATGATGGAACCGGTAAAGGCCGAGGGGTAAGTCCATTTCCATTTCCCATATACTATATGATCGGATCGACAGAAACACACAGCTGCGGGTAGAATAGTAATAAAAAAGATTTTTGGGGAAAGCGAAAAAATATAGGTGATAATCAAAACCAGAATGGTCAATGTCGTCAAAAGATCCACAGTTTTAGAATATATTTGCCATTTCTCCGGTTTATATAATTTATTAAAAATATTTGTACTTTATACCTCCTGTATTTTCAAAATTAACTTTATTAATGATGGTTTTTTATTACTACTATTATTGTTAATACTAAATGTAACTTAGTACTACTATTAATGTGTGCCTGTCGGTGTATATTTTAATTAATTAAATATGCATATAGTCAGATAGGGCCGTTTTTTAATGAGCGTCAAGGTAATTAAGTTGTTTTTTGTTTTTGTTCCCTGTTTGCCCAATCATTTATTAATTTAATGGTATTGTTCCATCTCATTTGCCCTTGGCGTTATCGACAAATTTTTAAAATGTTTTTTGTCAAGACCCAAATATATGTTTGGGTACTTTATTTGAACATTAAATATGTTTTTTATTAGCAAATAGACAAAAAAAATCCTTAAACATGTCAAACAAACTCCAGCCATTTATTTAAAAGTCAATTACGTGTTCTTTGGCACATCTCTAAATTGAATTTCTTGTTCACCTCAACATGTGATGCTAATTGAATTTCAAAGTAAACCATTTAATGCACAATTTTTTGTATAATGTATGAACACGTCACTTATTTTTTTAAGCTTAATGGTTTTGTCATTCATCTATGACACAATCTTGTATCTGTACTTTTTACAGTGTACGTAATTATCAGTAATTAAAACGAATATAAAGGTGGATTATTGAATACGATTAAAAATTTAAAAAGTTAGAATATTCCCAGTAAAGGCTGGATGCTTAACAAACAAACTAAGCAATGGCTAATAAACAAATAGAGATGATTGAAGTTAACAACATTGGTGTACGTGATCGAGGACTGTAAGTGCGAGAATAGTGGCTGCTCGTTGAAAACTTGGATTATATAATCTCTGAGCCGGTTTTAAATTTTTCTGTATCAGATCAGGTTCCCGGAATTTAAACCGTTATCTCTCCAGGGCTATTATAAATGCATGTATATGTACATATTTATGTATAATTTATAGCCGTAGAAAAAGAAAAAAAAACCCATAGCACAGCAACTTAAAAAGAATTTTTTAATGTTTTCAAAAGAATGGACTCACTATCACCATGAGGTTAAAGTGTACTAGCACTTAAATCTTAAACAAATTTCTGTGTTTGCCTTGAGATTAGATTAAATGAAATGTAATTTTTAAACTAGACATCTGCATGACTGGAATCAAACAGGCTTTGAAATGATTCCATTCGAATAGAATAGAGTTGAGTAAATGCTCAGCACACTATGACTAGAATGGATTGCATCTTGGTCCGTATAGAGTATGACAGAAAAGGCCTAGAGTTAAACGAGTGATAACGAAAAACAGAATGTCATATTTGAATATGCTGAAATCATTCGAGTTATTCGAATCCATTCGATTTTCTTATATGACGTCATAAGGGCAAAATAGAAAATTAAATTTGTTTTGATATACATATATGTATGTCTATAAATAAGTATTTTTGTGATTTCTTATTTTCGAAATTACCAAGCTCCCCTTAGTTTAAACTCAAAACACATGCAAAAATCCGCGACTTCTTAGTATTGTCATCCTGGAGTTTGTTAGATAAATTCTTAAGAAGTTGCGGTCCAAGGAAGACCATTCCATTCTGCCTCTTCACTACACTATTTTGTACTTCTCCTCCTTGGTCCGCGAATTCTTAGGATTTGCGGTAGAAGGAAGACCATTCCTTTCTGCCTCTTCACTACACTATTTTATACTTCTCCTCCTTGGTCCGCGAATTCTTAGGATTTAAATATGAAAATGGCATGGTTGGATTCAGTGGCGAGCTAAAACTAAAGGTAGATTTGTAATTAAAAAAAAAGACAAAAAACCAAATATTTATGTAAGTATTTCAAAACAAATTTAATTTTCCATTTTGCCCTTATGACGTCATGTAAGAACTCGAATGGATTCGAATAAATTCGTCTGAGTTGTTCGTGTACTCATTTACTCGATTCGTTTTCCATCACCATTTCTGGTTCGACTGAGTTTTACGTCAGTACACTTATTTATTCAAGCCAGTTTCCCTACACATTCCAACTCATTCAACTCATTTTGAACATTGTCAATTCGAATATGTATTTTTTGTTATTCATGCAGATGTCTATTTTAAACATTAAAGTCTGAGACAGAAATAAGTATCCCTAAATATTGATAACCCCTCTGTCCTACAACTTTTTGATTTATTAAGAAAATTACCATATATTTTATAGTTGAATCGATCATCATTTATAAAGGTAATAAACATTTTCGAATTTAATTGCAGTAAATACACCATTGTGGGTCCCGGAACCATCCACTCCCACCGCGATTACAATGTGGCTGTCGCTGTTCACCAGACCAAGGAACCAGTCACCCTAAAAGTGGGAATCACCGGTCCCTCGTACAACGAAACCCAGACCGTGGAGCTGGCCACCTCGGATGAGTTCAAGCAGATCACCTTCAAACTGCCGCCCCTGGAATCGGGTGACTACAATCTCACCGCCGAGGGAGTCAAGGGTCTGGAGTTCAAGAACTCCACCAAGTTGTCCTGGGACAGCTTCAAGCCGTACATCAAAATCCAGACGGACAAGGGCAAATACAAGCCTGGCGATACGATCAACTACCGTGTGATCTTCCTCAACGAGAACTTGCTGCCGGAAACGGCCGAGGAAACAGTGGTGGTCTGGTTCGAGGACTCCAAGAGGAATCGCATCAAGCAGGAGAAGCACATCAAGACCACCGGTGGCGTTTACACCGGCAAGTTCGAGCTCTCCGAGTTTGCCACGCTGGGATCGTGGTCCCTGCAGGTTCAGAATGGCGAACAGCCGCTGGGCGGTGGAGGCGGACTTTATGGAGGTCGCCGGCCCTTCGGAGGATTCAACCATCCCTGGCGTCGGGCCGATGAGAGGGTCAACTTCGAGGTGGAGAAGTACGTCCTGCCCAAGTACTCGGTCAAAATGGATGCCACACAGCAGGTTTCGGTGCGAGATGGCGAGGTTAACGTTGTCCTGAAGGCCAAGTAAGTTTAGTTTATCTCTTTTTATACCCTTTACTCGTCCGTCTGTCTGTCCGTATGAACGCTGAGATCTCGGAAACTACCAAAGCTAGAATGTTGGTATTACCCACACATATTCTTGGGCTTCCTACGCAGCGCAAGTTTATTTCAGCCGAGCGCCACGCCCCCTCTAACGCCCACAATCGCTCGCTAACGATTTTAAAATGTGCCTGGCGCCCACACCCTTAAAGATTTCCGAGAAGTATAAATGCAATTTTGTTGTGTATATTTATACCTATCGAAATGTAGAAGACATTTTTCAAATCGGACCACTCTTAAAAAAGTTATGCGCAATCAAAATGTTATATATCCATCTCCCTTGTACTCCCTTTAGCTGAGTGACGGGTATTAGATAGTCGGGACACCCACCCGACTATGGCGTTCTCTCCTGTTTTGGTTCTAATATTAGACTTATCCAACAGCTACACTTATGGAAAGCCTGTGAACGGCAAGGTGGTGGTCAATGTCCACCTGGATGAGACGAGCATCTGGGAGAATGTGGATGGCAAGACCGTGCGCAAGGACTTCCCCGGACACTCGGTCATTGGCTCCGCCGACATGGTCAGCGGCAAGGCCAAGTTGACTCTGGACCTCAAGGAGTTTGCCAGTTATCTGCCCCACAAGACCTCATCCTCCTATGCCCAAATTACGGCCACCGTCGAGGAGGACTTCACCGGTGTGAAGCTCAACGAAACGGGCGGTGTCCAGCTGTATCCCTATCGCTACGAGATGTCCTGCACGGACTACTCCACCTGCTTCTCGTTCAAGCCCGACAAAGAGCACGAAATTGCCTTCAAGATCACTTTCGTCGACGGCACTCTGGTTACAGACACCAAGTCGGTGGTGAAGGTGGGTTAATAGTTACTACATGGACTCCTTGATCTATTGCTAACTTATTTTTTAATTAAAGGCCAAGTTCACTGAGGGAATTCGACGCAACTACGGTTTCTACGGCTATGGCGATGAGCACAAGGAGCCTGAACTGCCCAAGATTGAGAAGAAAACGTTCGTTTTCGAGAGCCATTTGAATGAGTCCAGTGTGGCGCTCTTCAAGGTGACTCTGCCCGATTTGCCGGACATGGCCAACTTCACCCGCTACTACAGCATCGAACTGGAGTTTGTGGACGAGAAGCGCGAACTGTACACCACTTACCCCTACAGGGAGCCAAAGAAGATCGAGAATCCCAACCCAGAAGACGAGGAAAAGGAGTGGTTTAAGGCCGAGGTGCAGAGGCCCAAGGATACGTGGAGGTAAGTAGTATTACTCCCCCTTACTTCATCGATTACTTACTTACTTTTCATTTCATTAAAGCCTAAAGATCGGTCAGGAGTATCAGGTAACCCTCAACTCCAGTCGTCCTCTGAAATACTTTGTTTACAACATCGTGGGACGTGGAAATATCCTGGAAACGAAGCGAGTCGAGCTGGCCGAACCCCAAAAGACCGTCAACGTGACCCTGAAGCCCACTTTCCTCACTGCTCCCCATGGCCGTGTGTACTTCTACTATGTGGACGAGACCGGCGAGTTCCGATATGCCGAGGAAACGTTCAGCGTGGAGGTGGAGCTGCAGAACAAGATCGAAATCAAGGCGCCCGAGGAGGTGAAGCCGGGTGCCGACGTTGAACTGGAGATCAAGACGCCGGCCAAGTCCTTCGTCGGTCTGCTGGCCGTCGATCAGAGTGTCCTTCTGCTGGGCAGCAACAACGACCTGAACAAGGACTCCTTTAACTGGCGTCTGAATGGCTACGACACCTCCACTCCCTGGCAGGGTGGATACTCCTACTACCCCGGTGAACGAACTGGCGTGGTGACGATGACGAATGCCTATTTCTTCTACAATCTCACCTCTCCCGTTTCCCAAATTCGTAAGTATACCTCAAATGTATCTAAATATACCCTTGCAGAGGGTATTATGATTTCAGTCAGAAGTTTTCAACGCAGTGAAGGAGATGTTTCCGACCCCATAAAGTATATATATTTTTGATCAGCATCACTAGACGAGTCGATATAGCCATGTCCGTCTGTCCGTCCGTCTGTCTGACCGTCCGTTTATCTGTCTGTCTGTCTGTCTGTCTGTCCGTCTGTCCGTCTGTCTGTCCGTCCGTCTGTCCGTTTGTACGCAAACTAGTCTCAGTTTTTAAGCTATCGGGATGAAACTTTCCCAAAAGTCTACTTTTTATTGCAGGTAGTATATAAGTCTTAACCGACCGGATCGGACTACTATATCTTATAGCTCCCATAGAAAACATTTGGAAAAAACGTAAAAAAAATTCTAGCTTCTGTGTTTTTTTAAATATTACCTTATACTCTTAGGAATATTATTTTTTAAATATTTAGGAATTTCGAATTAAATTTAGAATAAATCGAAACACTATATCATATAGCTGCCATTAATGAGAAATAATAGAAAATTTAAAATTTTTGCGATTTCTTAATTAATACGAATGATCTGCAAGAGTATATAAGCCTTGGCTGGCCGAAGGTAGCTTCCTTTCTTGATTTCCTTTAAAACTTACTTAAATATTCTTGATTTACAGAAGCATTTGGTGGCGGAGGAGCCCTTTTCGCCATGAGGAAGACAGCGGTGGCCCAGGACAGTCCCGTGTTCCACTCAACCACCGCCGCCGTTGGAGCTGCAGCTCCTCAAGCCGTTGGATTCGCCGCCGAGGGAGCATCTGGATCTGCTGCACCGGCTGTGCGAAAGAACTTCGCTGAGACCTGGATTTTCGCCGATATCGAGAGCACCGAGGAGGAGGTCTTCAAGTGGGTTAAGACCATTCCCGATACCATCACCAGCTGGGTGGTCACCGGCTTCTCGCTGCATCCCCTGAAGGGATTGGGTGTCACCGATGAGCAGGTGAACATCAAGACCTTCCAGCCGTTCTTCGTCTCCGTTCGCCTGCCCTTCTCCGTGAAACGCGGCGAGGTGATCAGTGTGCCGGCCCTGGTCTTCAACTATCTGCCCAAGATCCTGGACGTCGAGTTGACCCTGGACAATGAGGACGCCGAGTATGACTTTGTGGATGCCTCGAACGAGGTCATTGGCGACCAGAAGCGTTCGCAGAAAATCCGAGTGGGCGCCAACGAGGCGGCAGGTGCCTCCTTCTTGATACGACCCAAGGTCATTGGCAATATTCTGCTGAAATTCACGGCCATCTCACCGCTGGCCGGCGATGCTGTGCACAAGCCACTTAAGGTGATCCCCGAGGGCATCACCCAGTACCAGAACAGGGCATTCTTTGTGAATCTCAAGGATACGGGCGAGTTTAAGAATACCTTTGAGTTGGAAGTGCCGGAGGAAGTGGTGCCCGATTCGGAGCGCGTGGAATTCGGACTGGTGGGTGATCTCCTGGGTCCGGTGGTGAAGAACCTGGAGAATCTCCTCCGCCTGCCCAGCGGCTGTGGCGAGCAGACCATGTCCAAGCTGGTGCCCAACTACCTGGTCCGGGATTACCTGAAGAGCATCAAGAAACTTACGCCCGCGTTGGACTCGCGCATCAAGAGGAATCTGCAGGAGGGCTATCAGAATATGTTGCACTATCGCCACGACGACGGCAGCTTCAGTTCCTTCGGACCGCACAAGTGGAGGGAGGAGGATCCGGAGCGCAATGGTTCCACCTGGCTGACTGCCTACGTTCTCCGTTCGTTCAGCAAGATCAAGGAGATCGTGGATGTGGATGAACAGCTGCTGGCCAAGGGATATGACTTCCTGCTGACGCGCCAGGCGGAGAATGGCAGCTTCACCGAGCAGGGAGAGTACTTCTATGGCTCCCAGCGTTCTCACCTGACCCTCACCGCGAGCTCACTGCTGGCCCTGCTGGAGGAGGAGAAGCCCAACCAGGCGGCCATCGACAAGGCGGTCTCCTATCTCAGCTCGAATACCGCGGATTCCGTGGAGCTGCTGCCCAAATCCATTGCCATCTATGCTCTGCAGAAAGCTAAGGCCCCAGAAGCCGCCAAGCTGGTGGCCAATCTGAAATCTCTGGCCCAAAAGGAGGACGATCGCACTTGGTGGACCGAGGATCTGGACAAGCTACGTGCCTCCAAGAACTGCGGACGCTGGTGGTGTTGGATCTGGAGTCAGGATGTGGAGATCACCTCCTATGCCCTTCTCTCCCTTCTGGAATCCGAGCAAGAAACTGCCGACACTGTGCTGAACACTGTTCGCTGGCTGGTTGCCCAGCGTAATAGCTTCGGAGGATTCGCCTCCAGCCAGGACACCGTGATGGGTCTCACCGCCCTCATCAAGTTCGCCGAGAAGTCGGGCTACGAGGCAGCCAAGTGGGAGGTCACTGTTTCCAACAAGGGCAAGCGTGAGAAGACCGAGAAGCTGAGCACCTCGGAGGAGAATGATCTGCTGCTCCAGACCGTTGAGTTCCCGCAGGGCACCAAGTCGCTGGAGTTCGAGGCCAAGGGCACTGGCGCTGCTCTCGTCCAGATCAGCTATCAGTACAATGTGGTGGAGAAGGATCCGAAGCCCAGCTTCAAGGTTGAGACCACCGTCTTGCCACAATCCTCGCCGGCCAAACTGGAGCTGAGCGTTTGCGTCGACTATGTGGAGGAGGGCAAGGCCAAGGAGTCCAACATGGCCATTCTGGAGGTCTCCCTGCCCTCCGGTTACACCGCCGATGAGGATAGCTTCAAGGATATCCGGGAAATCCAGCGTGTGCGGGTGAGTTTATAGCAGCCCTTAAAATTAACTTATATTTATTAATTAAATTTTATTTTCTTTTCCAGTTGGTTGAGACCAAGAACGGCGACTCTGTGGTGGTTGTCTACTTTGAGAATCTGTCCAAGGGCGAGAGCAAGTGCATTCCCATCGAGGCCTACAGGACCCATGCGGTGGCCAACCAGAAGCCATCCTCCGTTGTCCTCTACGATTATTACGACACGAACAAGAAGGCCACCGAGTACTACTCCATCGACTCGAAGCTCTGCGATATTTGCGAGGGAGACGAGTGCAAGAGCAAGTGCTGAAGTACCCAAACCAAAATGAACCAATAAATCTTACTGTCCTTGCATCAAATAAAATATTGTGATTATAATGTACATCAAAGTGTTTTTTTAATCATTAAAAAAAAGGTAGAATATTAACGAAATTGCAGTTTATTGTGATTTTTAAGTGATTTTTTTAAATATTAGTCAAATAAACCAGCGGCATTTCTAAAAAGTTATTTTATGTAGTTAGTTTCATGGGACTCAAAAATAATAATAATAAAAAAGGTCGTATCAAAAAAAGCTAAACTTTGGATTTCTTTATAATAATTACTTTTAGAATCCGCTGAATACCTGTATTATTTATCATCATCTTATGTAAGAGCGTATGTGCATTGCCATTTAATAACAAAAGAAGGAGTGCATAAACTAGAAGAACAGGAATGACTGGTACTTTGGGATGGGAGTTCTAATGTTAAGTCGATGGGTACATCGTTCATCCCATTTAAACAGTCGAGGTTCTGCAGTGATTGCTAGAGGTTCTGAATATGCCAATTAATAATTGCACCTAACAAAAGTATCATAATGAGTTTATTAAAAGACTTAACTGTGGTAACTTGCGTATTTTGTTCGTGGTTATATCATTTTCAACTGGTGAATGGTCAGGGGTAAGGAAAAAGAAAAGATTCTAGTTTGGAATACAAGCTTTTTATAGTTTAGGAACTTTGTGTTTAAAAAATAATATCTCCAATTTTTGCTATTCTTTTTAACTCAGAATTTATAGTATAGTGGCTCCTGGGACCATAATCCCCAATCGCGACTATAAAGTAACCGTTGCCGTTTATCACATCCAACAACCTGTAACCCTAAAGATTGGCATCACAGGACCATCGTATAATGAATCACAGATTGTGGAATTCCCAACGGCCCAAGATCTCAAAGAGGTCGTTTTCAAATTACCAGCACTTTCCGAGGGCGATTATAATCTTACAGCTAAAGGCAAATCAGGCTTAAATTTTACGGACTCAATTGGACTCTATTTTAAACACGATGCTCCCATCGTTTTTATACTAACCGATAAGGATAACTACATGCCCGGCGACAAAGTTAGCTATCGCGTTTTGTTATTAAATGAAGAGCTTAAGCCGGATTTATATGCGGAGGATCTGGTTATCTGTCTAAAGAACCCAAAAAGAAACGTGATAGATAAAGCTAGAGGAAGTAAAGTAACAGATGGAGTGTACTCCGGACAATTTCAGTTGTCTGAAAATGCTCCTCTGGGTCAATGGAAAATTACTCTCGAAAATGCTGAAGGTGAAGAATACAGATCCCACAGGAGTACATTCAGCCTCTTTGAAGTAATATCGGACGACCTACCAAGGTTCTCTGTACAGATAGATGTTCCAAAATATGTCAGTATAAAGGATAATGTAATGAAAGTAGTGGTCAAAGCCAAGTGAGTACTAAAAAGGTTTTCTTAATAATTTTTAAAAAATATTTTTTACCTTTTCAAGGCACTTGTATGGAAGTCCAGTGAATGGCAAAGGTACAATAAATATTGATTTGAAAACCGCAAAGCAAAAGGAAAATCGATTCAATCGCACGATAACAGCTAGTGGTGATTTATCCGAAGGTCAAGTGACTTTTAATATTAATCTGACAGACATTGCCAAGCAGATAACCCCAATAAAATCCACCTATATGGTCATAATAAGGGCAATGGTAGAAGACGATCTTAGCGGTGAAAAATATACCGAAGTTGCCAAAGTTTTTCTGCTTCCTCATCGCCATATTGTAACTTGTGCTGATTTTTCATGCTTAAGACCTTGGAAAGAAAAGGACAGCAAGGTTTTCATAAAGATTACAAATTTGGATGGATCTCTGGTAAACGATTCTCAGTCGTTGGTTAAGGTAATACAGTATTAAAATAAAAACTAAATATATAAGAATATGATTTTAAAATTATTTTCCAGCTCATTTACAACGAAGGAACTGAAAAATTGGTTAGTTATTTTAGGAAATACCTTGAAAAAGGTGAAAAGAAACATTTTGAATTCGTCGGACAATTGGACAAGTCGGGTTTGTATGTCTTCAAGGCCAACCTCTCCGATTTACCACAGAAAGATGACACCTTGCCTTACTATGATATATCTGTGGAATATGACGGTGAAGTATACAAGCTCCAACAAACATTCTCACAAATGTTTGGCTCAATGATAGATGCCCATAATGCGTATTTTACGCCGCGGATAGATGTGAATTTTTTCCTCCAGATCCATGGACGCAAGGATAGCAAGGGATATCCAGCCCCTTTAATTGCTGGAGATGAGTTTCAGGTGACCTTGAACTCCAAAGATCCTATTAAATACTTTATATATACCATTGTTGCTCGAGGACTTATATTGCACACCGAACGTGTTGATTTCTCTAATCCCATGAATGTTTACAACTTCACTGTAAAAAGTACACATCTCACATCGCCATTCTTCTATATCTACGCATATTATGTGGACGGAGAAGGGATTCTTCAGTACACAAACTCTCAATATAAAGTTATCGTGAGTCTTCCGAACGAAATCAGTATATCTGCACCGAAGACTGGATATCCGAAAGAAGAAATCAACATCCAAATTAAAACAGAACCCAATTCATTCGTGGGTCTTTTGGCGGTGGATGAAAGGATTTCGGGGAAGAGAAGACTAGAGAATATAAGACTCGGTGATATGGACTGGGAGTTAGAGGCAAACCAATTGTTAAATGCTTTGGCAGCTGAAGAGCGACAAACAGAGTTTTCCAGGAATTACGAAATAGATATGAACCATTTAAATGAGCATTTAGATGATTTCTATTTACACACCTATAAAAGGGTTCCCGGATCGCGTCTCGGTCTTATCACCATTACCAATGCCAAAATTTCGGAAAGAATTTTTCGATATTTCGATAAAGGTAAATATTGTGAAATCTTTCCTCATTATTACTATTTGTATACGTAAATCTCTGTTGTTTTACCAGAAAAGGACGTTTCTGCGCGCAGAAGATTTCGAAAAGAGACTAAATCTGCATTGGGATTTCCTTTGAAAACTATGGGATCTTGGCTATTTACGGATATTAAACAGACAAAGGGAGAGGTAACCAATCTGAAAACGCATCTGCCCAACACATTAGGCACTTGGGTAATCACCGGTTTTTCCTTACATCCTGAAAGAGGATTAGGATGCTTCCAAAGTAACTTTACAAAAATCAAGACGTTTGAGCCTTACTCCCTTTCAATTAGTATACCAGACTCTGTGAAACTTGGCGAATCAATCAGAGTTCCGGTTGTGATCATCAACCATCTTCCAGATTTATTAAAATTGGAGCTAACAATGGACAATGAAACTGATGCGTATGACTTTGTAGATTCTAATAGAAATAATCTTAGACATCTCATTCAAGTCGAAGAATATGGAGCAAAAAGCGTTTCTTTTACAATTCAACCGAAATTTATTGGAAACTTTATTCCACTTGATTTTACCATAAACTCATCAGTTAAAAACTCCACTATACAGAAGACGCTAAAGGTCATTCCAGAAACTACCACTCAATATAAGAATCAAGTTATCCTATTCAATCTTACGAAAAATCAGAAATACAATAGGTCCTTCCACCTAGATTTTCCAAAAGGAATGATTAAGGATTCAGACAACATTGAAGTTAGTTTATTTGGTGATCCCCTTGGTCTTATCGTAGAAAACTTGGATAACTCCTTGCCCAGTGGAACTGGCGAACTGATCATGTCTAAAATGGTTGTTAACTTTTTGGTTTGGGACTACCTTAATAAAACCAACAAGTTGTATAACACTTTAGACGCTGAAATTAAAAATAACTTAAGAGTGGGCTATCAAAATATATTGAACTATCACCACGAGGATGGAAACTTTAGTTATTTTGGTCCTCAAAAGGGCAATGGATCCATTTGGCTAACCTCTTTCGTCCTTCGTTATCTAAGCGATATTCAGGAAGTCATATATATTGATAATAGTATTCTGAAGAAAGGATTCGAGTTTCTACTGAACCGGCAGAATGAAGATGGAAGTTTCACAGATGAATTCGAATATTTTTCAAGGAAAGACAGTTCTCTTTTCCTAACATCCAGTGTGCTGCTGAGTCTACAGAAAGGGAAAAATTCTAACATGGAAGCCATAAAAAAGGCTGTAACTTTTATCAAATCCCAGGTTGAGGAAACAAACTTTTCATTGGCCAAAACAATGGCCATTTACGCATTGCAAAAGTCAAAGGAAACAGATTCCGATAAACTCGTAGACCAACTTAAATCCTTAGTCCAGAAGAAAGATGATCGAACTTGGTGGGCAGAAGATGTGCAGAAAGAAAGCCCTCAAGATGTCGAGATCACATCCTATGCCTTGCTTTCCCTCATGGAATCAGAACAGGTTATGTCAGAACTCGATATAAGTACAATTCGATGGCTGTTGGCCCAAAGAAATATTTATGGAGAGTTTGTCTCCAGCCAGAAAAATGTTGTGGGTCTCACAGCGTTAGTTAAGTTTTCTAAAAAGATTGACTACAAGGCAGTCGATTTGGAGGTTAGCGTCAGTGGTGAGGATAAATCCGATAGAACAGTTTTAAGGTACCGAAATGATATGATAGCCCAGATGATTAACTTTCCTCAGGGAACCAAGTTCCTGGAGATCCAGGCCAAGGGTAGTGGCTTGGCACTTTTCCAGATAAGTTATCAGTACAACTCAGTGGAACCGTGGGAAACGAATCCTAGTTTCAAGATTCGGACTAAAGTTAAGACCAGGACTTTGTTTTCCAAACTAGAGGTGAACGTGTGCGTCGAGTTTGTGGAGGAAGGAGAGGCAAAGACCTCTAATTTAGCTTTTATTGAAGTGTCCCTGCCATCGGGTTATATTACTGATAAGGCCAGCCTCAAAGTAATTCAGCATATCAAAGGAGTACAGGTGAGTACGAGTAATATTTATCCTTAAATGTTATTTAATTATATTTCTCCGCAGTTCGTGCAGACGAAGAATGAAGAATCCGTGGTAATTGTATACCTTGAAAGTCTGGCCAAGAATGAAAACAAATGCATACCCATCGAGGCATTCAGAGCATTTGAGGTAACCAATCTTAAGCCATCCCCAGTTGTTATCTATGATAATTGTGGCAGGAAGGCGACCGAATATTATCAATTCAAATCGGAGCTCACTTAAAGTCCCAGTATCGAGTGCAAAGCTTCGTAAATCAAGCCATGTCATATCAATCTGGGCAACACGGATCTAATCGCCCGGCTTTTTATAGGACTACTTCAAGTTAAATCCAATATACCTTAATCACGCTCAATGTCAGATCGTCGATAAGAATAGTGCTGAGTCAGCAATTAATATTTGTAAACATTTAGCAACATTATTTCATTAAAAATTTGAAGCTTATCATAGCCGTAAACCAAAGCGTGTGGGTGGTTTAAAAATGCTTAGTCTTCTAGTGAGTAGCTAAATGGAAACAGTCTGGCCAGACAATTGGCCCAATGGCGTAAAACATATTTGTATATTTTCAAGTGTGCGGTAAACTTTATCTTGTACGTGCGATTTTTCATTCCGATAAGGCGCGGGGCGCTGACTTGCGATCCGACAGGAGTACATGAGTATTATGTATATTATCAATAAGTGGAACAAGAGTGGGCCAGCACTTGAGCAACTGAAGTCTAATTAATATTAATAACCCCTCTAAATTTAGTCCCGCCGCTCATTTGGGTTTCTGGGAATGGTCAACGTGCGAGCGAGCGCATATACAAGAGCTCCCGAATGCTAATCCTTTACTTCTTTACGTTCTGCTTGAAAAGCCCCAACCGACATCGATGAGTGAATGAATGAATGGATGGCGATAGAGGGCTGATTAGATCGTTTGGCCAACGATACGGCGAACGTGAACATGCAACCGCCCACTCAATAACATTGTATAATCCTTTGAGTCGACTGCATTAGAATGAGGTACCCAAAATTGTTGGGCTGATAAACCGATAGCAAACAAATAGTCTGCCAGTCTAGTGAAAGTCACAAAGCCACTCCGAAGGCAATAAAAACCTCAGTCGCAAATGGTTCGTTGTAATAACTAATGCAAATCGGATCGGCAGTCAAAAAGAATTTTTTAAAGAAGAAGACAATCTCAAAGAATCCTTTTATAGGACACTTAACACTAAAACATATAAATTTTTGTTAAAAATACTCTTTTTTATAAAGGAACATTTTTGAAAAAAAAAACCATTCCTTATAAAGGATTAATTTAAAATTAACCTTTTTGAGAAACTACAATTACAATTTTTGTGAAATTTCTTTAAACATTTTTGTGAAATTGCATTAAAGATTTTTGTGAAATTAAAATTACAATTACAAAATTTTGTGAAATTACAACTACAATTTTTGTGAAATTACAATTACAATTTTTGTGAAATTACATTTACAATTTTTGTGAAATAAGTAGAATATATTGCCACCATGAGTGATGAAAAATCCAAGTCCACCTCTGTGCTGCAGCACATAGAATCGGCGCTATATGTGATCAACCAGCTGTGCATAGGATTTGTGACCATCTGGGTTAGTTGGACCTGTTTGCGCCAGGACCTTTCGGGAATTCGCCTACACGCCTGGCTGGTCACCTTTGGATTTGTCTTCCTGATGGCCGAGGGCATGATGTGCTTCTACGACGGCAGCTGGTTAACTCTGCGATATTCCCGGAAATACAAGACCGCCTTCCACGTGGTCCTTCAGATCCTAGGAGGCGGCATGGGCGTGGCCGGCTGCCTGATCCAGTTGATACGCGATGATTGGCAAGTCAGTGTTACATTGCATGCCCGCTTGGGCTTTGCCGCCTTCATCCTGTGCCTGATCTCACTGCTCAGCGGTCTGGCCGCCTTCCTGGCGAGATCCCTAAGCCGAGCAGTTCCTCCGCTGATCAACAAGACCTTCCATGTGGTCCTCAGCTTCGCTGCGTTCGTGATCGCCATGATGGCCCAGTTTTATGGATACACGCAAACCGGAATCTTCAGGGGCCAAGGACAGGACTTCGTCATCCTCATGCAGGTCGTCACCATGGTCCTAATGGTCATAACCAGCATTGGAGCATTGAAATCACTCTACCAGAAGTTCAGCAGCTTGGCCAGTTAAAAACGTCTGGCGTTTATCCCGAATCCTGTACATACTGTATATTAATTTAAGCTAGAGAATTTATTTGTACGCTGTTTAAAGTAATTTAATTACCAAAGATGTGTTTCAAACTTAAGTTAGGAAAACGAAAATTAAAATGGCTGTAAACCAACTACAATCTACCTCAATAAAATCCTGTTACTTTAAGAAATAAATAAATTTAATTAATGTTTATATTGAGTATTTTCTGTGTTTTGTATATTTATGTAAATTAGAAAACTTAGGAATAGTCAATAAAAAAAATTGGAATTGGAAAGATGTTAATGAATTGATTTTGTAACTCCAATTCGTTCGCTTAGTTCAGTAGTATCCACTAAATTTAATTTTTAAATTGTAATATTGAATGGTAGTTTTAATTTGTTAAATAAAGAAAAAATTTAAATAAAAAAGTGAAGAAATCTATACATAGTGGCTGTCCATGTATTACGTAATCACCTTAGGGGGAAGGGGTCAACCAAATGATTACTTTGGAGGAAATTTGTTTTTTTGTTTTAGGAAAAATTTATTACATGGGGCGGGTGCGGGGTGGCGTCTTAAAAATCGCCTTATATGTGATTACGTAATATATGGACAGCCACATATGTGCAATGTACACGAACTCCGAAATAAAAAGATAAAACATGTAGAAAAAACCTTTTAAGTATGCAACGCTTTTTGTAATAAAATGCCTACAGTAATATTATACATGATTTATTATCATATCCGCTTTCTCAGGCACAAAAGATTTGTTTTATTTTATTACTTTTTAAGAATCTGTAGATCGGACGTAACAAGAATATCATGATTCCATCTCAATCTAAACGAGAACGGAAACTAAAGTTTCCTTCTTTAATTTTATGTCCGATTGTTCCTATGTGTGTCATAGGATATATAAGTCAAATATAATATAGACGCATTACAAACTATGAAAGTTTCAGATCGCTAGCTTACAAACTGAGCTTACAAGCGGTATTGAAACAGACGGACAGAAGGAAAAACGGACATGGCTATATCGACTCCCCTAGTGATCATGATTAAGAATAAATATAATTTTATAAATATCCGACTCCCAATTTACCATTTTTTATTTATAAAAACATAATTGCCTTAATCAAGCCATTAAGATTTTATGACAATTTGTGTTTAAAAATTTGATACATATAAGAAGTTAATTTTTTATTTATCATATTAATATTTTGTATCTTTGACTTTAAAAAGCTATTCTGCCAGCACTGGTGCATTAACAAATTAGCTTCGCTTAGTGTTGATAAGTGCAAATTGATCAGTTGTCTACCTATCGCCAGCAACAATTGCGCGCTATCGGAAATTTAAAAAAAGGCACACGACTGAAGGCCTATTTGCGGTTTTTTCTGCACTTTGATAGCTTCCCGAGTTGTAAACCGATATGAATAGGAATAAAAAGTTTAATCAGTTTGCGGTCAAGACCAGAAAGAACATGGAAATGACGGTGCAGGAAAGGCTTCGCCAGTTACTCATAGACCATCGAGCAAATGGTTTGACTAACAAAGTTCAATAGGCGTATCGGTGGAACGTTAAACATTTAATAGCCATCATTTTTAGAGCACACGTCTGGTTTTCCCGAATGGTAAAAAAAAAATTGCGGTAATTTGTCTGTGAAAAGTGGCAGGCAGTATTATCAGTCGACAATTGTATAAATGTTAACACGAAAATAACATTATTTCAGCGCACTGATAAAGTCTAGCGGGGCGCAAGAACTGAGAAACGGAAACTACAATGTCCGAGAATCAGCAGCCAGTGGTTAGTAGAACCCAGCCAGTCGTCGACTACGGCAGTACGATCCGGACGGAATCGCAGCGCCGACCCACATTTATTCCGATCGAATCTCCGCGACGCTATTCGAAAATGTCACACAGTTCGCTTTCGGGCCATGAGGGTCAGAACCGCCTCCAGAGATTGGAGTACTTTCTGAATGTCCTGAATCAGATGTGCATTGGATTTGTCACCATCTATATCTCTTACTTGACCCTGCGAACTGGATTATCCAATACCACCAGTCTGCATGCCTGGCTCGTGACTATCGGGGTTAGTATTTTTGAAACGCAATAAGCCACGAAAAAGGATTCATTCGTTTCATATCACAGTTCTCCTTCTTCATGGCCGAGGGAGTTATGATCCATTACGGTGGAAATGTCTTGACAAACGGATATAAACGCCAGACGAAGACCACAATTCATTGGGTAGTTCTGACATTGGGAGGCGGTTGTGGGGCAGCTGGAGCTCTTATCAAAATGATTCAGAAGGGGTTTCTGCTTCAATCCACACATGGGAGGCTGGGTGAGTAGAAATAAATAAATAATGCTCATTATATAGAAGCAGATACTAATTGCAGGTTTATTTAAAAGTTTAAAACGATTCCGATAAGAATACAGAAATTGTTCTTCTTTTTATTAAATATTTTTTACTTTTAAATATATTTTTTGTAACATACTTTTTTGGAAACACTTTTTCATAGTCTTGAAGCTACCTATTTTATTGTCCAATATTAGTTCTTTAAGAACTATTTGAACACCGACTCATAGATTCCTTATTCACCAACAGGAATGACTGCTTTCGTACTGTGCATTCTGTCCATGTCCTCCGGCTTGCTGGCACTATTCTCACCTCGTATGAAGAAACTGATTACACCACTGCTAAACAAGACTTTCCACAATTTCCTGGGATTCACCTGCTTTGTAATCGCACTGGTAACCCAGTATTACGGCTACCAGACGGGATACTTCAAGAGTCGAATTGAGACAGATTTTCAAATCCTGATGAAGGTCATCACTCTCACATCGTTGGTTCTGTCGAGCTATGGACCCATGAAGGCACTCTATCAAAAGTTCAAAAATATATCCCAGCAGTTTTAAGTAGAATAAAGAAACTTTTCTTTCGAATGTACAGACATATGTAGATAAATAAATGTAATATCTGTTAATATCTTATACCCCTACAGTTTTTCTTTCTCTGACCTATCTAACAATTTTGGAACTCTATTCAATTGGCTAATCTTATCGTTCATTCGGTTTTGAGTACATTTAATTTATGGATTCCCATAAACATGAGTAAATACGCAAACAATGCATCATTAGTGACTGGGAAAACCCGGGGAAATAACTAGCGGTCAAACATTTAAACACACGTTTTGTCACCGCATGGAAATTAAAAACCCCAGTTGATTGACGGTAGATAATGTTCGTCAAAGTTTAAAATCGACTATAGAATACACTCAGTCATTCGATTATATTGAGAATTGCTTATCTACAAGCAAATATAGTATACGGTATTGACGTTTTGAAGACAAATCTGGATTTCGAAAAGATATTAATCTTCCTTATGGCACATGACCAAACAATCCCATTGCTAGATCGCTAGATCATTATTTTGATATATATTTTGATACTCATTCCTCCACCATTTAAAAATCAGAAACCAGGCAAGTTGTTTTATCTGTTCCATTTGTGACACATGGAGGCCGCATAATTGATAATGAGTGTCCTAAATAAGTAAATAGTAACCCCCTGAAAAGAAAAGCCTAATTTCCGGCATTTCAATTAAATAACTCGTGGATTTGCATGGTGCTGTTTCTTATGTTTATTTAGAAAATCCATATCATTTTTTCTTAAATCTCTCTCGCAATAAATAATACTTGGCGCGTGTTTCGCGTTGTGTGGTGTGTGATACGCATATCAGTTAGCAATAATAATAAATAGCTAGCGTAAGGTTTTAAAATTCATAGTCAATTGGGTAATACAAGGCTGGGTGCAAACTTTCGGTAAAAGAAAGTGAAGATCTCTAGATCGGATTGAGTGGACAGTTCTTGAGTATACATTTAGCTTTCGGTAAATAGGTATTTATCAACTATCGACTAAAGCCCAATGAAATTTGTGATGGGCAAGGCATATTCGATTTTGGGCACCCTGTTTTCCGCTCTGTTCACAGCTTGTTGCTGCGCCGAATGGCGAAGGACATCAGCGCGTGCTCCAGCCGCATGTGATAGGGAAGCTTGCGCTCCAGCAGGACCGGCTCATCGTCATCCGGACAGCACTGATTCCGGCAGCACTCGCACTGCCCGTCGTCATCATCATCGCATTCCTGCTGCATTTCCTGCTCCAACTCGTAGGCCTTCTTGGCTGCCCGCTGTTCGAAGCGCAAATAGAAGGCCAGGCAAACGAATAGCATAAAGACCAGGGCACACATGGCTCCACTGGCAATGCTCGCCTTCTCCAGCATTGGACGCGGCCTCTTGGGCAGATAGGTATTGTCGATCTCCTTGTACTCGCACCGCTGTCCCATAAAGCCAATGGCACACTCGCAGCTATAAACAGGCAGATCGGCAATCTTGACCGCAAAGCAGTGGGCATCATTCAGGCAGTACCAGGCATCGAAGGTCTCCGGACATTTGTAAGTGGGGAATGTAATATTTGGCCTGGGCGTGGTCGTCGTGGTGGGGCGCATTGTGGTGCTACTCGTGACTTGCACCTGCGCTGGCGGCAAAGCTGTGCCGGACATCGATGAGGAGACCGAGGAGCGCGGCTTGGGCACCGTGCGGCTGGAGCAGGCCTCTATGTACGTCGGATATGCCAGGCAGCCGATCAACAGCAGGACGATACTCATTTTGGAATGCATTACAATTACAATTTGTAGCTGTAGCTTTTTGGATATCGGCTCTCTCGTTTTTGGCTTGCAACGTTTGGTTGTTTAAAAGCTTAAAAATACTAAAACTAGTAACACTATCACAATAATAAATTAGAATATTCGTTGTCCGCTGCAAGGGCGTCGTCAGATCTCTTTGGAATTCGTTTTCTCTACATATGTATGCTGCTGGTGGAACGTAAACGTTGAGTTAGAGGAGATGTGTGTATCTGTGAGAAAGATAAAACTGCATTAGATTCAAGTAACATCTGAGTTCTATCTATCTAAAACGGTGTACTGAACAAAAGGGGAAAGAAATCAAACTGCATAAAATTAAAAGTATATATAGAAAAGTATTGTATATAAATAAGTCTGTGTGTTTATGAACCATTATGTTACAAATCTGCAAATTTTACATAGATTTTCGAATTTTGTTTTTATTTTTTTTGCACAACCAATTCACTTTTTTTTGTTCTCAAATTCCTTTTATGTTGGTTCCCGTTGATTATCCTAGCTCATCAAAGCTGGCTGTGATATGCGTTGGGTATCCATATCACAACCACTTGATGAGGCTTAGATAATCAACATCGTTCGGATGAAGAATCGTTTTTGTAGATATTCATGAATGGGGGTTAGTAAGAATATTGCACCGGATGTGTGTAGAGCCCTATATCAGAGATGGGGCCTCCACAGTTTAGCCATTTTTCGGTGTTGTGCCATGCATTTCTCTTCCGTCCTTCCAAATTTTGATCACCGTTCGTCGCCCCTTTTCATTTCCGATTGCATTTCACTATAAATATAGATCTGAAGTGGACGACAACATGTTTTATGACAGATATGTTTTTGGGCGGGTGAATTATGGGGCGGGGGAAGTATTATCATGATTGGATGTACGATACATTACGCTAAGCTCATCAAAGCTGGCTGTGATATGCCCGGGCAATGCGGAAATGCATTTCACAACCACTTTGAGAGCCCAGCATGAATGCGCCAATATAGTTTATTGATTGAGGTTCCAGGATATTTGACTGCGGGATTTAAGAATTTTCAATTTCGATTTTATGCTCATGTGATGATGTAAACAAAATTATACACTTGTAACCGCTTCTTAGTTTTAATTTCACATATATTATTGACATAATTTTTCTTGTTTCATTTGAATATTTGTACTTATTTATCAGATGGGTATTTTTAATTTTTAATGATTTCTTTTGTAATTTTTGTCTTGAGCATCGCGTCGCTCCTCAAAGCTGGCTGTGATATGAATAGGCATAAAAAGGCAAACATTTCACAACCACTTTGAAGAATGACACAATTCTCTTGCTTCGATTCGATGAGAGTGCCGAGATTCAGATTCAGATTGAGACTCGTCTTCTTCCCGAGTCTTTTTTTCAACGTTCTCACGGCCACGGGCTTCGAGTCTTGTAGGTTTTTTTTGCAGCCACGGCACAATAAACAAATATAAAAAAATACGAAAATAAATGCGACAACGACTACAACAACACGATGATAATGATGATCATGACGACGATGATGATGATGAGGCTGGCGATAATACACAAATATGAATTGACATGAATGGCGACAGTGCGCGAGTGAATGGAGCAATTTTCGTACATTTCTACGCGATAGGCTGGCCATCGTCTCAATAATAATAAAAATCAACAGGCATACCACACAACATCGAAGAACAACACAGAAAAGGGCGACACGGGCAAAAAGCAATGCACCCTAAATTATTATAATAAAAATGTAAACATCATTTTGGCGCCAGCCTTTGGCAATTTGACGCCAAATTTGTTTTTATTTTTTCAGAGTTCGTCTTTGGGAATTTAAATTGATAAGGGAATGCAGGCTAAAAAAACAAAACGAAGAGGATTGAATCAACCGCTAGAAATAGGGGGATCTTTAAACAGCACTCTTTAGAAAAAAAAGATACTTAAAAAAGTTTTCAAAGACTCAATTTCGAATTAAAAATTATATATTATATTATATCTTTTTAAATTTATCTTAGCTCAAATAAAATTTATTTACACTTTAAAAAAATAAAAAACCTAAGCAAAATATTTCGAGTGACAATAAAGTCAATACAATAAACACCCTCGGTTTTTTAGTTCACCGTTTAAAGCGCCCACTGTAAAACAGCAAATAAAAAAAAACAGTTATTGGATGGGTGTGGGGACTTACTTATGTATGTATTAGAATGCTTTTACTGTTAACAATTGCTGCACTCTCGCCCCTTCTCTTTCTCGCTCACACTCGTCAACGGCAGCGGGCAGCTTATTAAAATTTCCGTTATAAAAATTAAATCCGCCGCCGCGCTTATGTACATGAATACATGTGATATGGGCGTTTGTTTGTGTGCGAGAGGAAGTGGAAGTAAGGTAATGTGCGCAAAAATCAAGTTGAATAGCCATATAAAATGCGCTGAACTTGCGAGCGTGTAGGTCAAGATCAGTGGCGGCACTTAATAAAATGTTGCGTCTTTTTCTTTTTTTTTGCCAAAAGCAATTGAATCGGGTTCGATGATCTTTTAGTGAATATAAATGATGGGGAAATGAGCCAACAAACACAACAACGACAACAGCAACATACAAGCACCACAATAATTACAACAGCAACAACAACAACATTAAAATTCAACTATATTAGTGTGTGGACAACAAAAAGTGTGCATACATACATGACAACAACAACACCCGCTAATAAAAATACTGTTGTGGCTGCTGCTTCTTCTTCTGCGTCTTTACAACTTCTTCGGCAAGCCAGTCGTTGTTGTTGTTGCTGTAATTTTCATGTTGCCTTGCTCTCTTTCATTCTTGGGCGTCGCTGCACGAGTTCGTTGGCTCTTCCCGTTTCTGTATGTGTGTGTGTTTAGAAAACTGTAAGAAAAGCAGAGTGTGTGAAAAATATGGTTAAGTAAAACAAAAAATTCCAATACAGGAACAACACAGCTCGCTCTTTTCTCAGCTTGCAATTTCGAAAAAAAAATGTACCGGTTTTTATGTTTTTGCAAAAAGCTCAAAAAACAAGTCCTACTAGTTTTATATCATGAGAGACTGGAGAGGCAGCAGGGAGAGCAATAAGGCGTGAGAGCGAAAAGACACACTTAGCGGAGACAACAACCTTTTGAGGTGTGTTGCGTATACACTCCAGCTCTCGCTCTCTCTTTTTCTCTTTTCCTGTCTCACTCTTACTCCATGCCTTTCACGGGAATAAATTATGTATGTATGTACCAAGTGTGTGTGTGCGCGGGAATGTTGTGAGGAATTCTAAGAATTTTGCACAAGCGACAAACGAAACGGGGCGCGGACCATATTTAAAAACCAAACAAAAAAAGCTTCAAGAGAATAGGAAGAAAATGCTTTATGCGACGTTTCGCGAAAAAAGTTAGCAGCCAAAAACGAAATATATCACACCAACACAAGCACAGTCGGAGCAGAAAAGACGCAAAAGATGGGGAAAATGAAAGACAGCGCGTTTGGGCGTTGAAAACGTTTTTTCCAAAAACCAAATTGAATTAACCGCTATATTCACTTAAACACCAAATCATTACGCTTTGTTTTCACAATTTAACCACTTTTTCCATTTAAATTTGAACAACTTTGGTGCAAAACGCCGACGAAAATCGCCGCGCACATAAAGAGACACAACCGCACCGCAAAAGATTCCAAAACCGAATGCCGAACAACAACAAAATTGGTTCTAAAGATGGACGTGTTTTCGCTGCAAAAGAGCAGCAGAGACGAGACTCTCTCTCTCTCGGTATCTCTGCAGAGCGAACGAGAGCGACGGCTCTCCTCTCCACTAAAAATGCGGCATAATAACAACAATGCGGCGAGCTGCTTTGGAGCTCATGTTGTATGTAGTTTCTCATACCCGTTACTCGTGAAATTCACAGGGTATATTAAGTGTTAGAAAATAAAGATTTGTAAAAATTTTGAATTTAATTAATTTTTAGTTCCATTATTTTCTTTGAAAATATTTCAAAACCTATAACCATTCTCAGAACTGTAAATATTAGATTAACAAAAACAATCATTTCATCGAACGAAAGGAATTGGATTTCCATTATAAAGTAGTTTTTATACTGCAAGTATTACCCTATTTTATCAAATAAATTTCCATGGAAACACCGATAATAACGGGTATCCCATATTCGCTTCAATTCGGCACGACGCTTTCTTGTTTTGTTTTTTTTTTGTTTGTTTTGGTGTTGCCAGAAGATTTCGCACGATGTAGGATCAACATGTTATTGACACGACGCCGCCGACGCCGCCAGTTTCAGTTTGGTGGAGCGAAAAGCACACAAACAAGAAGCGACGCAGAGCGGCGGTACGAAAGCCGCCGAGAGCGAGGGGGCGTGGCGGGGGCGCAAGGGCGGGGCAGGTAGCCGGCCAAACGGGACGAACAGGATGAAACCCAGACGAGTTCAAGCCAACTGCAGATTTCATGGAACTGGCCGAAGGTTGAGGATGCGCAGGCGCGCAAGTAAACAACATTCCATTCCTCGGGAAATGTCTTTCTTGCCGCTCGAGAAGCGCGCCAAAAATAAAGCCCCGCTAAAGTTGGTCGGTGGTTGCCAAACCCATTGCGAATTTGATTTTGCGCAATTTAACGCCCCCTTAAAATGGGAGCAACCCACACATACAGGCTAGTTGAACATAAAATTACTAAAGAAGTTTAGAAACTTAAAACAAATATCGAGCATTAATCTCTAAAATGACTAAATGACTTAAATTTTTAATTAAATAGGATTATGATCCTAAAATGATCATCCTAAATGTACATTCGCTTAAATTAATACTTAATTAAAACAATAAGAGATTGTAGTAACATTATAAACAAGAAAGTATAGCTTTTCATGAATAGACATCGATTTTAAGAATTAGGTTCATATTTCCTTCAGAACTTTTAAGCGATCTTACAGGTTTTAACAGCTTGGCATAGCATTTTAGTTTATTTAACTAAAAATCACATATTCAAATACGGAATTCTTTTCTTGCAGATAAAGTGATTTATGGAAGTTCGACTTTATACATACAAATGCATACAAAAGCAGCACAACTATTCGTTTCCGGTGGGTAGTCGGTCCGCAATGTGGGCCGGGGCCGCCGACACCATTCCAAAGCCAATTGACGTCACAAGCGACACAACAAACAGCAAAGCAACAACCTGGCACAACGTTTTCTGGGTTACAACAGCTCACGGATGTCGGAGGAATGCATCGAAAAACGAAAAAGAAACCAAGAGTCACCAACGAATGGCAGGCAAGTTGACTCAGGAGAGAGATTTGGCCAATCAATCGGCTTAGTTCCACAAAACAACACAACCCAGCGGGACTCGAATGTCACAGGTCCAACTGTACAATATACCCAGAACAGAGGATGATAATGGGGGATGGGTAGGGATGGGCTGGGCGAAATGTTAATGGATTGCCCTAGGACCTGCCCTCATTCCGTTTGCCATCTCTGTCGCTTTTCTGCTGCACTTGTGCATTCCCCCCATCAAGTTGTGCTTCTTGTGTTGCCACCACCACCACCACCACCTTCTTGCCCCTTTTTGCGGTGTTCTGTTGCTTTTGTTGATGTTACAATTGTTGCACTTGTTGTGTGCGGTTTAGGACATTGAACCACAGAGCCAACAGAAATGCAGAACTGCACGCAACTGAATGGCAAGTGTACAGCTGCGGTCAAAGAATTAGCAATGCATTACGTAGGGTTTCCCTAATGCCAATCTCTGTACTTTAAAAGTGGTCTACATTCAAGGAAGAAAGTTCCCTCTGTCTCTGAATTCGTTATGAGCATAAAGGCAAATATTTAGGTAATAGATAATTTCAACCAAACGTTTTGTAAGCTAATTAATAAATTTTTGGTGTTAATATTGATATTCTGATAGTAAAAATACTATATATGCTATCATTGTTTTATCCGCTTCTATGCTCATTTGGAAACCGATTCAAAGGCAGTTTTAATAAAAAATCGATAAACAACATTACTGCTATACGTAGGCACATCAGTTTGTTTGAATGTCTGGCTAAAACGATGACGATAAAAGGTCATGACGAAGAATTTTTCGCCAATTGCCTGGTGGGTCGCACAGTCTGGGTCGCGAGACGTCTGACTAGACAACATGCAAATAGTAACGGTAATCATTAGACACACACATACTCATTCGCATTCGCATTTTATTTGCATGTACACTCTCTCTTTTGCTCTCTCGCTTGCTCTCTCTTTCTCACCCCATTTTCTATGCTGAGTTGAGTTCGACGGCCTTCTTACGTAAAATCAACAACAACGCTCTGCGGTATTTCTCTTCTAATAAGCGGGCGCTCGGTAGCGAGGGGGGGTTGGGGGATATGCACTCGGCGACAGTGTTGCCATATCGAGCCCCAGACATCAAACTCGTTTTCACTGTTTCGACTCCATGCTCGTGTATATGAGTGTCTTTGCAACTGTACAAGAACAATAAGTACATAAGTATGTATGAAAAACGGGCAGCATAAAAGCAACAACACAAGGCGCAGACGCCAAACAAACCGCTCCCCCTCCCCCCTCTCCGTTCCAATGTTTGTCTGTCTGTCTGGAACGTCTCTTTATGTATGCTTTAGGTGTACGTATGTATGCATGTGTGTCTGTGAGCAATTTTTATTTTTCTGAATGTAAAGGAAGTGGCACGTACTGTACTACTCAACTCACCGCTGCCGCTACCGACAACAACAACAAGAGCAGTGACAGCCGGATCAGGCTGGGAATTCGAAATTGGAAATGGAATGAGAGCGAGCGCGTCGCATTCGTGTTCCGATTCCGCGTCGTTCCTAAGCAGCGGTCCGAGGCACAGTGGTTGCGAAAAGTGAAATGCAACGAAACCGAAATTCGTTGATGATCGTGGGCAGAAGATACGGCGCGAAGAGCGAAAGTAGACGGAAATCCGTTTAGTGAGGGTGAACAAATCGGTTTTACATTGCATGCTCGCAAAAGTGGACCAAGAATATAAAAACATATAATTCAAAATAAATATCCAAATCGCTACATTAGTTTACGAGGTCTTTATAAAGAAAAACATAATAATATTGTATTTTTTATGTCCTAAAAAATGAGATGTATAATATAATTTTTGAATAACATATTTAAATTTTTTAAGTCTTTGAAAAATGTAAGTGAGATCGTATTGTAGGTATCGTATCAAATTCAAAATTCCTAAGTCCCAATGCATTTTTAAGATCAATTAGTATCGATCGATCCATTGTGCAGACTCTGAGAGAAGAGCGAAATGAGAGAAGAGAGCCGGCTGGTTTGGGTCTCCGCTGCGCGGCAGACAGACAAGACGCCATGCGTTTGGAAGAGCCTGGAAGGAGGCGGCGGAAGGAGAGGGGCGCAATATTATAAACAGGAAATGGAATTTACCCATACAGATGCAGCGGGCAGAGACTGCTGTGTGAATTGGTGATGAGCCGACAAACGGACGCGGTGCTTAATTGACAAATGAACACGGGAGAAAGGGAGAGAGAGCATAGCAGACCGAGGAAAGAGCAAAAGAGAGCGGGCGAGCGCGCTTACAAAGTTGATTGAAATCAATAGTATGCGAAAGCCCCCATAGACAAGTGTATCGGTGTGAGTGTGTTAAGACCGCTCGTGGAATGTGTGAAAAACGCGGCCAATGACGGCAATCAAACGACGGGAAGAGCAAGAATGTTGAACTCTGGAATGTGGTGGCTGGAAGTGGGAAGAAGTTTCTGTAAATAGAAATGGAGCGGGGGGGAAGGGGCGGGGTCGAGTCTTTTGCACCTGCCACGCCCAGCTGCCCCTGGAAACTATTAACATGTTGCACAATTGCAGCGAGTCCACTCTATGTACATACATACATATTTATATATATCCTACGCACACAGAGGTGCAATTGCAGATGGCGACGAATATAGCGTGTGTAGTTTTTTTTCTCGGAAATGAGCAATGAATGAAATTCGGTTGTTTTCAGCGTGTACTCACACACACACTCACCCATACACTTGCAATTTGGAGCAAGAGAGAAAGTCTGCACGACATGCGCTCTGGCGTTTGTGTATATACAATTTTGTTTACTTTTTGCGCTACAATTGGCAAATAAAACAATAGCGCAATTTTGTAAAGCATTTTAGCGTACTAACCTACATTAATGGATAGCCCACCAATCACGATGATTACGTTTATTTTTTAATAAAACCTTTGAGAAAGAAAAAAAAAACAATAAAAAAATGTCGGCAAAAAAGGCAAGGCGCAACTGTATTGTGCGCCAGTGTGTGTGAAAAGGAGACGGCCATAGTAAAAAAAAAACACATATACACACAGGAGACTTTACTGCTGCTTGCGGCGCCCACACACATACAAAAACACGCCTATTTAGTACAGATACTGCGTAAATTAAGTAAAATTAGTTTTCTGGAGTACATAAAAACTGTATTTCCTGTATTCATTTCCCCTTTTAGTCACCGCAACTACACACAGTCACTAATTTTTAACTCACGCACACACGCGCATAAATGTTCGGCTGCGTTTTTATGCTTTAATTTACAGAGTTTTCTCGCCTTTTCCTTGGGAACTTACTTTGGGTTTTAGCTTCGTTTGTTGCACTTTTTCGGCCGGTTTTCATGCCATTTTCTTTTCGAAAAACTAAAAACGTACAAATCGCTCTGTCGCGTCTTAAAATTGAAGTGCTGCCAGATTTCGTGGAAGAGCTAGAGGTGGCACTATCGGGTTAGACAAATTTAGTGTTGTAAAGCGACGGTGTAGGAATTAAATTCACTTTTCAGTTAGGGTATTCATTAAACTGTTAAATTAGAGAATCATTGATTTTTGGTCAGCAGCTTAGCAACTGTTTCTTAAAAATGTAATTGTTAGAAATTTCAGCAATTTGAAAAGCTCGAGTCGATCGGATAGTTGAAAGCCAGTGTAATTACCTTATTTAACTTAGAAGTAATGGCAACTCTGTAACATACATATACATTAAATTTAAATTCTAATAATGTTATTTTTTCAAGCCAACTTATAACTTCAGATAGTAGATGAAAATACATAATAATATACATGATTTTATTCTAAAAATGTTTTACAAATATGATTATTTCTTTGAAAATTCAATAACAAACTTCAGGGTGTTTTTCTTTATTGCTGAAAATGTTTATTTAATTTAAATTAAAATTAAAAATTATTTGTCTAGTTTTTGTCACTCTCATCTGCCATGAAACTAGTAACGAAATCAGTTAACAGAGCTAGATTTAGCTAGAAAATAGCCAGACGCGCCAGCACAGCTTCCAGTCCACCCTTCCAGTAGACATTCGACCATCTGGCAACTCCAGGCGACGCCATTTCAAAACAAATGCGCGGCAACGATTTTTATTTCTCCCCGAAACATTGAGTGAAAAGTCGTGAAAGCAGAAGGATAAACAGACTAAAATGGGAGCAAAGGCAACGAAAATGGAGGGCGAATACCTGCCGGACACGCCGACACTGAACAGAATGCGCCTGGCCAGCGAAAGGCAGGAAAAAATCGAAATGACGACGCCGATTAGAGAGCAAAGCAACGCTTTGCTCGATCCTCGATCACCAAACGGCTGTCGCACGCCCTTAAATGTGAGTTTTTTGGGATTTGTATAGTCTTGAGGGGTTGTTACTTACAGGGGCTTTAGTTTTTGCAGGCCGGAACGCAGGTTCCAAGGCTACGTGCTGCTGAAATGGAGGTGGAGCAGCAGGTGGCCTCCAGTGAGAATGCCTTCGCCGTGCTGCGCAAACGTTTGCTCAAGGGCTTCTCCCTCAACGATCCCCGCTCCCCGCAACTGAATCGCACTCCTTTGGTCCTCGACGAAGTGCGCTCCCTCAATCTGGACGACACCTTTGCCGATCTCTTCGTGGACACCCGCGTGGGTTCAGCCCAAACTACAGCGGCAGCATCTGTGCCCATTACTCCTCCTCAGTTGGATTTGGATGAGAGCTGCGATAGCTTTGGCACTCCGCCCTGCGAGGCCCACAACAATAGCTCATTGGAGATTGTTTCTCTGCCCTACGACGAGGAGGAAACGCTGCCCTGCGAGGATCAGCTGGTTCAGCTGGCCACTCCGCCTCCTGCTGCTCCACAGCAGCATCTGCATACCGATCCCCGTTCGCCCAGCCTGGGCGTCGATCGCACGCCCATCATCTTCTGCGACGACGAGGAGGAGGAGGCACGCGAGGCCCAGATGCTGGAGCACATTTTGGAGACTCTAACCCTGAACCTGAGCACTGGCAGCAGCATGGCCTCCTTTGCGGCTGGCGAGGATCAACCTGCGGCCGTCGCACCGGCCAACAAGCATCTGGAGCGCGTGCGTTTGGGTCACAAGCGACGGGTTCCACCGCGCAAGCCTGCGAGGGCCAACAAGCCAAAGATCTACGTGGACCAGGAGGAGGAGTCACCCGGGGCAGGTGCTCCCATCACGCCCAAAACGAACAGTACACCGCTGTCCGCCCAGAAGCGCACGCCACTCAGTTGTGTCAAGAACAAGCCGCATCTGCGTTCGCGTTCCGTTGAGAAAGATCTTCGGAAGACGCAGATTCCTCCGGTGCAGAATTTCAACGATCAACTGCGGCTCATCTCCGGCGGCGAGGGACTCAATGGTCCCATTTACTAACCCAGTTTAGTAGCTACCATTGCCTTTTGCCCACCTACAACCCACCAAATCATTAAGCATGTTTACAAAAACCATACAACTCATTAATCATCTTTTAATAAAACATTTTATTAGTTTGCTTTTAAATGTTTCTAATGTAAGATTACAAAATCTGTATTTTTCATCTTATTGCTCGTTGTATTTTTATATTTTATGCCGAACTCTTGTCATGGAAACCAATGAACTAATTTTTATTTGGCAAAATACATACATTACATTACATTTAAAGCCAAAAAACTCGAATTCAGCATCATTTTTTGAGTTAACTTATCTACCTCTTATCAAATCACCGACCGTTTAATTGTATATTCATTGAAAAATACAAGATTTTATCTTTAGATTTTAATAAAAACCGGCACACAAGCTCCATTTAGTACTAAGAGTATTTTGTAACCAAACTATTAAGTACAAACCTAACTTCAATCTGGGTTAATTGTAATATTGCATTATCTACGCTTTTTGTGAGGACCCGGAATACATGGAATATCAAAAATACATTTGTTCAAAAGCCTTGATTCGAGTAAATAGGTTAAAGCTTCACTGATACTGTAGCTGCAGCTTGTCCAGCAGTTGGTCAATGTCATTTTGGTCCAGCGACGCATCGTTTGCTAGCACAAAGTCAAAGCCATCGGCCAGATCATCGAGATCGCATTCGGATGGCACGTCATCGATGCCCGTGGTGAAGGTCCAACCGCGTGCGGATCTTGTTTCTGGCCGGGATGTGAGTCGTAGGGTGATGACCCTTTCCGCACCGTACGTTTCCCGGAACCACTTGATGTCGTTCTTGCGCCGGACATCGCTGACCAGGATGTAGGGCGTCTGCTGGCGGCCCAGTGCCTCCTCCATGGCCACGCGGCAGAAGTAGCCGTAGTCCCGGGAACGCACCTCGTCGCTCCAAACGATCATGTCGCGCCGGTACTTCTCCTTGTAGGGTCCATCGCTGAGCAGGGCGCTGAGGTCCAGTTGCAGCTTTCGTGCCCACTCCGACTTGATGGGCTCCGAGATTCGAACGATCCGCGATCGAGAGCCTAATCTGAAAAATTAACAGATTTTTAATTGATGATTTTAGATGGGAAAAAATATTATATTAGTTCAGAATTTTAAGAAAAATTTGATATTACTGGTTATTAAAATGTTTAAATCATTTCATTACTTAATTTTTCAAAAATGTTGAATATTTTCTAAAAAATTTTTTTATCATTTTTTAAATTTTGTATAATTTTCTAAATTTTGTATAATTTTTTAAATTTTTTATAATTTTTTAAATTTTGTATCATTTTTTTAAATTTAATTGTTTACAATTGAGAAATATTTTCAAAATATTACCTTAAAATTTAACACATTTATTGTTTTAGTTCTTCTTCAAAATTCTTTGAAATTTACTTTAAAAATAATTTTAGAGAAATTTAAATTTAATTATATTTAAAAGTAAATCTGTTTCTTAAGTAACATGAAAACATGTAACAAACGAAAATTTGCGTAATTAAAACCTTGGGATGGGTATTACAGATGGTATTTCAAAAATAGTTCCAGGTAAGATATAAATTTGTTGTAAAAATAAATGAAAATATATTTAAATTTAATTAAATATAAAAGACTACCAATGTTTAAAAACTAATATTTTGATCAGAAAATCTGTTTCTCGAGTATCCTAAACTTTTGAACTGAACTGTATGGAAATTTGGTTAATTAAAACCTTGGGATGCGAATTATAAATGGTATTTCAAAGATAGTTCCAGGTAGGATATATATTTGGTGTAAAAATAAATTTAAATATATTTCAATTTAATTATATTTTAAGGACTACAAATGTTTAAAAAATAATCATTTTATTAGAAAATCTGTTTCCCAAGTAAAACTAAGTGTATCCTAAAGTTTTGAACTGAACTGTATGGAAATTTGGTTAATTAACACCTTTGGGATGGCAATTATAAATGGTATTTCATAGATAGTTCCAGGTAGGATCTGCATTTACCTCTGCTGCAATCTCTCGGATATGTAATCCTTGCCGCACTTTCGCTTGCCACTGATCAGCACGATTTTCAGCATTTTTTCTGCTGGCCAACTTTCACTTTTGGTCGCGTGTTACTTCCAATGCCGCTGCCTTCTGCTTCTGCTTCTGGCCTCGATATTCCGAATTCCTCGTAGAGCTCATCAGATATCGGATATAGCACTTGACCTGGCCAACGTCTGGACTTCGGTGCTCCAGGCCTATTGTTTTTATGTTAATATTCCATTCAGCAAATGCGCTCGCTTTCGGATTTGTTTACCTTTTGTATTTCACTGGCGGAGCAGCCAGCTGGAGAGAGTTTATCGTTATCACAAATATTCGATAGTCAGCTAATCGAGCGGGCTTTTTTAAAATATATTATTAAAATAAAAAATGAATTTATTTAAAAAACTTAAAGTAAAAGCATAAAAGTACAATTGCCTTTCATTCCATAGTATAATTCATTCAAAATTTATCTAAAAAACTTAAAGTAAAAGTATAATAGTACAATTACCTTTCATTCCATAGTATAATGCATTTAAAAAGTATGAATAGATACAAAACTCAGAGGTATATACTTATATTTTCGGTTTGCTCCAACACCGTAAGATACTAAGATACTAAGAAAAACGGTTTTAATGTAACAAAATATGGAATCAATATTTTAATTATTTTTCCATAGTTTAATGTGTCTAGCGCAATAAATATAAGCAATGATTTGTCGCGCTAGGAAAATATTAATAAAAAAATCTAATTCTAAATTCGCTTTACCAACATTTAAAAATATTAGCATCCAAAAGATACAAAACTCAAAGGTAAATACTTATATTTTCGGTTTGCTCGAACACCGTAAGATACTTTTAATAATTTCCTTCTTAACATACATATAGTTTACTTAATTAAAAGCCGTGCCTGCGTAAAAATCAGCTTCCCCCGTGGATGAGCCCCCTATCTGTAGTATTGCGATTGCTGCCAGTTGCCGCCGGAGCCACCGGCTGACGTCTCAGCGGATCCGGAGGCACCTGGGCCTCCAGTGGCCGGCGCAGTTGGCTGACCGGCGGTTGTCACGCCCCCCTGGGCCCCCGATCCCGCGCTGCCGAAGGAGGCGAGCACGCTGCTGTAGTACGAGGCATCGGCCACCGATTCGGATTGACCCTTCTTCAGGCTGTGGTGCAGCGAGGCCTTGCCCTGATGACAGTCCTGGGCGTTGGCATTGTTGATCCTGGCCAGGTTGGCCAGCGTGAGCGTCGAGTGGCCGCCATGGATGGCGTTTTGGGCAGCTGCGGATCCTGGCGGCGGTATGCTACCGATGCGTGACTGGGGGCGGGCAATGGAGGCGGAAACGGACGCGGGGACAGACGACTCGGAGAGCTGCAAGGGGCAAGCGGTTTTTTTTATAGACAGGACAGCTTAGTTTTAGGAGCCATAGCTACCACTCGCCTTGCGCTGCTTGTGCAACTCCAGGCCCAGACCGACGCCAACGCCCAGATCCGTCATTTTCGGCTGCTCCGCCATGGACGCCAGCTGTGGCAGCGACTGTAGCGACTGCAGCGGCGGCGGTGGCTGCGGCGCCACATGCCTGTGGTTGATGTGCGCCTGCAGGTCGCGTTGCGAGAGATATGTTCGACGGCAGCCGGAGCTGCCGTAGCGACTGCCGCCGTGGGTGCACATGAATACGGTGCCCAGGCCGCTCTGCTCCACGCGCAGCACCTTGTCCGTGCACCGCGGGCAGCTCTTGATGGGCTCAGCGCGGGCGCACTTGAGGCAGAAGACATGCTTGCAGGGTATCATGCGTCCGTAGACGAGTATCGGCTTGTCGCACTGATCGCAGCAGTGGATCATCGGGTTGAGCACCTTCTCGCCAATAAGGCTAACTTTGTGGTTCCACTTTAGGCGCAGCATGGGCTCAGGGGGTCCGCGCGATAGGGTGGTGAAGGTGGGCGCCTCCAGCTGCGATATGTCGGCCTCCATGTCAACTGAAAAGACGGGAGAAATTAGTAAAGTATTTATAGAAGTTTGGAAAATTAGAGAATTGATTGAAGCAAGGATAAAACTATAAACTGAGGTACAATTAATTGGGAAAAAGTGCATGATTTTCATTTTTTAATGGTATATAAAGATAGGTAAAGATAATGGGACCTATTGATGGATATCCCCTAAACTAATTATCCCATTTCTAAGTTAAGATTAATTGGTGCAAAATTGAAGATTTTCAGATTTTAATCAAAAGGTATCAATGGCATCAAAGATATTAATATTATTGTAAACTCACGACAATTTTTTTTTTTGGATAAAATGGAAGATTTTCAGTTTTTTACCGATGGTATCTGATGGATATCCCTTAAACTATATCCCATTTCTAAGCTAAGATATTAAAACTATAAGTACAGGGAAAATTAATCGGGAAAAATTGAAGATTTTTAGTTTTTAACCGATGGTATCTGGTTGATAAAGATAGTTAATAGATATTGATGTATATCCCCTAAACTAGAATGTTTTTTTGGTTAGTTTTCTATCGAAACCTTTAGTTTAATCCTATTTCTTGGGACTCCTTGATGAAAATCCTCATAAATAATTCTTTCAGGGGATAGAGAGTAAGTTTATGTATCTTTGCTGAACCATTTTAATATAGGAAACCCATTAAATCTTATTGAAGGATATCCGCTAACTAATTATCCCATTTCTTAAGCAGAATGGTTTCTTAATTAGTTTTCTATCGAAACCTTTAATGTAATCCTATTTCTTGGGACTCCTTGATGAATATCCCCTTAAACAATTATTTCAAAGGATAAAGAGTAACTTTATGTATCTTTGCTCAACCAATTCAATATAAGAAACCCATTAAATCTCACTTGTTTGGCTGAGCACAGGCACAGGTGGCACCTGCTGGAGGACCTGTGGCTGCGGCGTCTGTGGCGTCATCTCCTCGCCCCCCGCAATTGTTCCCTGAGCTCCCTGCGGCAGGGGGGCCTCCTCCAGCGCATTATTCACCTCCATGTCGCCCTCCTTGTCCAGATCCTGCATCACCGAATCCTCGGAGGGCTCCAATCGACCTGGACTGTCCTCCAGGGCTGCACAACTGTTGGCTGCCAGAGTTGCGGCTGCGGCGGCATCGGCGATACTGCTGTCGTCGATTTTCTTGCCACGACCGCGTCCCCGGCCCCGGCCACGCCCACGCGCCCTGGTGCCGCGTCCACGTCCGCGGCCTCGCTTTCCTTCCGCCGTGTCCATGGCTCACTCGAAATCCCCTGGGTTTTTGCAGCCGATTCAAGAGTTTTTCGGTTTTTGTTTAGCTCCGCATTTGCGCCCTTCCACTGTTGTAAAACTCTTCTGGCCGGTTTTGGGGTGACCATCAGTAGAGTTACTAACACTTCTATTAGCAGTCCGGCAACGCTGGTCAGTTTGGTTAGGGTCTTTCCTTTTAATCATCAGGGTACTCCCTAAACTGTTAAATTGCTGAATTTTTGAAAATTAAACAGAACATTTCAGCAATTAAGGGAACGACCCAAAATGGCTCCTGGTGAATCTTCAAACAGCTGTTATTTGTTGAAAAGTTTCACGGAACTTAAAGCATGTAGTTACTGTTTAAAATTGTTACCAAGGTAAAAAGAACCACAAATATGCTTTCTAAGTTGATTTTAAAATAAATAATGCGTACTGGTGATACTATTTTTTAGTCATTGTTATGGTTTTTTACTTGATAGCGAATCCTTCAAATTCATCATATATGAAAACAAAATTTAATAAAATCAGATATTTCTGCTTCAGCAGATTTGTTTAAAATAAGAAAGATTGCTAACTGCTACAAAAAACTACTATAAAACCAAATTTAACATTTTTAAATGTCTTGAAAAATAAAAAAAATGTTAAACAGAAGATTAAATTTGAATAAGTTGCTATATTTGATTTAGTTAATAACAATTACGCAAAAAAGCTTAAATAATTTTAGCGAATTGTTGAAAGATTTATAGTTTAATGTGAGAATATATGTATTAAAATATTAAAATTTTTGTCTTTAGTCTTTGGTTTTGGATTTATATAGATTGCGTTAAAAAAAGGTGAGGTAAATTGTCCAACCATTACGAGTCGGGATCATCGACCTTGGGCGCGAGATAGTATCGAATGTAGCCAAAGTCCTCGATGGGATATTCCACCAGCAGGGGAACCTCGGCGGCCAGGCAAATCTTCACGCGATCCGACAGCGGAGTGGCCTTGGTGAAGGTGTTCAGGTAACGACCCGCAAATGTCTGGGTTAGTGGATCCTTCACGTCGATGCTAACGTCCATTTTGGTTCCCTCACTCAGTTGAATGTTGGCCGAACCCAAATCTCCGTTGGCCGAGAACTTGATGCCCTGCTTGGAACAGGCGATGGTCAGGGATTCGCTAAACATGCTCATGTCGCGGCAAATGCGGGCAAATTCCATCGATGGCAGCTGGACGGTGCAGGAGTAGTCCGTATCCGGGATTCCCAGGTGATCCTGGTCCAGATTGAGCAGCTTTAGTTCGTAGTCCGCCGTTCGTTCCTGTCCATCCGATTCGAAGCTAAGTTGAATCTTGTCCGGTTTGTCGGTGGCTTTAATTGTCACCGTATCGTCGCTACTGGCGCACTTTAGCACCTTGGCCAGCGACTTGAGATCCAATCCCAGCGAGACATTGCGATCGCAGCGGAACTTTTCAAAGCAATCCGATTGCAGACTGAGAGCCACCAGGGAAACATGCGAATTGTCCATTGATTGGAGCTGAAATATAAATAAGAATATTTAAAATTTCTGGATTTTCCTTAAAAACAGCAGTTCTTGGTTCAGATGTTAAATTAAGACATTATACCACAATATTACCAAGTAATAATCAACATTTTTTGAAAGTTGATTCTTAATTTTTTGTACTTTCTGAATAGCTTTTGAAGAAGTGATACAAATGTGATTTAAACTTCACCTGCAAGCCAGAATCGCTGCAGTCCAGTGTTCCCTGGGCGATAATCTCCTTCAGCGCATCAATGATCTTCTTCAGAAGCAAAGTTTGACCTAAGCGCGCCTCAAGCATTTTTCAAAAAGTAACTATAAATCCCGTTAATTTCGCAATTGGAAATAAACAATCTGAAGATAATCAGCTGTTTTGGCGTCGACAGGGAGTGGCCAGATTGTCGAAGAACAGCATTACAAGCTTATTAAGGGGATTCCAAAAATATATTTAGATTTTCTTTATTTAAATTAGAAATTTATTAAGACATTGTAATGTATTTACAATTAATGACTTGAAATTGTTAAACGAAGGAATACACATTACTGTTATTTTCTGTTTTTGTAAAATAATACCATTAATTTTGTGTACTATTAATAAAATTATAAATAGCTTAATTTTATTTATTAATTTTAATTTTTATTTTATTTGATTTTTTTTTATTTTAATTGAAATGTTTTTCCGAATCTCAGTTAAAAGATCTGGCAGCACAAGTGTTCTAGTTCCAGTTCCGAACAGAACCAATCCATTCAGTTCCAGTTCCAGTTCGGATCCAGCCGTCCAATATGTTTACGCTGCACGGGCATTTATTTATAACCAATTGCTGAGCTTCGCGATGGCCGCCGCCCAGTTGGAGGAGCACGATCCACCAGCGGATCTGCAGCCCGATCGGAATCCCAGCAGCGACTGGCGGCTGTGGTGTCGCCTGTGCGCCAGAGATGACCTGCAGGGCAACATGAACGTATTCCTCAAGAACGAGGACTCAGGCGAGGCATCCTCTTTGGAACTGGCCACCGCCATTGGCAAGTACTTCTGGGTGAATGTGAGTGGTCCCTGGAGCTTTTTGGCATTGCCAGTTAATCATAGCTTTCCCCGAACAGATAACTCGGGGTGAGGAGCTGCCGGAGACGATCTGCAGTGAGTGCCTGTCGCTGGTCACCTCGCTGGTGAATTTCTCGGAGCGGATAACCCGCGTGCAGAAGCTCTACTGCATCCTACAGAGCTCCTCGGGTCAGGTGAACCTAAATCTCCAGGAGCTGCGCTCCAAATTCGGTCTCCTAGACGACGAGACGCTGACGGAGGAGCACTATGTGGATAAGAAGCCAAAGCTGGATGAACAGCTTGCGTTTCTGCCAGAGGAGTCGGCCTTCGAGTTGGAAAATCCACTCACTCCGGAGGGAAAGCAGGAGGAAGAGGAGCAGGAACCGGCGGAGGAGGAGGAGGAACGAGAAGATCAGGATCCAGACTACGAGGCGAATGAAGAGGCTGTGCTGCTGAACCTGTGCGATACCTATGGCATCCAGGAGGAAAACTCCTCCAGTGGCAGTTTGACCGACTCCTCGCCAAGTCACGAAAAAGCAGGGAAATCACACGCCGACAAACGCCATCAGTGCAGCGAGTGTTTGCGAACGTACGCCACGTCCAGAACGCTGCAGCGTCACCTGCGGCAGGATCATGGCAAGATTGAATCATCCTCCGAAGAACTGCAATGTCCGGATTGCCCCAAGAAGTTCCGCCTGCACTATCAGTTGGAGCGACATATCAAATGGCATGTGCCGCTGCCCAAGCGAAAGCAATATGCCTGCAATAATTGCGACAAAAAGTTCGTCACCAGTGCGTCCGCCCAGCTGCACGAGCAGTATATGCATCTGGATGAGCGACCGCGGCCAGTGATTTGCGAGCAATGCGGCGTGGGCGTGCACTCGATGAGCGCCCTCAAGGAACACGTGCTGAAGCACACGGACTACGCCCCCTTCGAGTGCGAGGTGTGCAAGAAGTGCTTCAAGTCGGCCAATCGACTGAAACACCACAAGGAGACTCACGATCCGCACAAGTACATTTGCCCGGAGTGCGGCATGCAGCTGAATTCGAGAACCACGCTGAATCGCCACCGACTGGTGCACACGGATAAGATGCAGCACAAATGCGACTATTGCGGCCGGGAGTTCAAGCGAGCCAAGGCGCTGAAGAATCACCTTATTCTGCACACTGGACTTAAGCCGTACTCCTGCGATTTTTGCGATCGCACCTTTGCCAATGGGTCCAACTGCCGCACGCACAAAAAGAAGTCGCATCCCGAGGAGCTGGCCGCCCAGGAGGCGGCGGGCGGTGGGAAGTCTCATAATAGAAATATACCCAAGCTGGAAGCACTCAAGGCATTGTAAGATTACTAAGTAGTTTATAAAGCCCTGCATGAATGGATTCAATGAATTGTTTTGAATTTTTTGTTTTATATGAATGAAGGAATTGGAATTTTGAGTTTAATATAATTTAATGAATTAGAATTTTAAGTGTAATAGAATTGAATGAATGAATGGCATGAATTCCGAAATAATTCAAACGGCAATTTCTTTTGAAGAATTTGAATTTTGTTTACTAAGAAGTTAACATTGATTTGTTAAAAATTGTACACTTTTTGTTCTCCAAAGAAAGCACAAAAAAAACTGGCATATTCAAAAAATTCATAAAAATTATTCATTCATTTATTCAATTCGCAATGAATTAGAAAAACATTTAATTGAACTAAACAAATCAGAAATTTCATGGCATACTAAATAGAATGATTCACTCAGGGCTCTACTAGGTTAGTTTAATTAACAGACGTAAACCCTTTTTGCATTTTTTTGCAGCACCAAGAACAAGGACAACCTCTCACCGGTGGCCACCAAGCAGAGCGGCTGTTTTGCTTTCGGAAAAAAGCCCAAGCCATCTTCCCTCAAGGATACTGTCAGTCCTACTCCAGCTTCAAATCCTGCTTCCACTCAAGATGCTCAGCCAGAACCAGCGGCTGATCCCGCCAGCGATAACATAACCCAGCCTGATCCCCCAGCATCGACCATACCCACGATAGACAATATTTATAACCACATCATGATTGACTATCGCTGAAGGCGCCTAATCATCACAACTATAAGATTGGCAATAAGCAATAGTGCTTATTTTCAAAAACCAACCAATACCAGTGCTTCAATACCGCAATTTTTTATTTCAAAATTTTAGTGTGTTATTCAAAAAACTGTTTAAAGATATAGTTGATTGTTTTAGGAACCAATTAAACACGAATAAAATGTGGATTGTAAAATGTAGGTTGCCTTTATTAACTAAAAAATAGAAAACTATATTAAAAATAGAGGAACCTATTTTAAAGAATTAAAAAAAATGTAATTAAAAAAATTTTTTTTTGAGGATAAAATGCAATTGAGTTATTTCTTAAAGAATTCAACTGACTGAGCGGGAAAGTAAGATTTAAACAGATCCGGCGAATGGCGCATGTGCATTGTGGGCCTCGGAGTCGGAATCAAGTCACCCCCATTTAAATCCAATCCTGGTATAAAGGAATTTAGTTCAGTTGACAGCGTGCGTCTTCCTCGTGTCCTGCTCTTCATTAAAATTTGTTTAAATATTTCACCCACAAGCGAGTGTATTAAGACGTTAAGGATGTGTGAAAAACCCTAGGATATTCCCTAAATTAAACATGTCCAGCTTGGGCTATAAACCAAGTGTGAGAAAAGTGTGATTAGCTCTTTTACTCCGATGTGCGAGCCGAAAAATCAAAAAAATCGATTTATCCCCCAATAAAAACAAAGTGCATTAAATGGCCATAAACGCCCGATGAATTTCAAATAACCGAACTGCGCTTTAAAACTTGAAAAGTGAGTTTCAAAACGGAATGATTTAAAATGGAACAAGGCCTATAAATTAAATATTAATAGAAATAACTGAAGTAAGAGCAGGCACAGCAGCTGACAAGAAAACTGAAAAAAAAATTAATAAACAAAATAAAAGTGTAAGTAATAAGAAAAAAAAAGAGAAAATGTTTAAATAAAATATTTAAGGTTTCCAAAAGTTTAAATTAAAAAGTGTATGCAGCCCTGGTTTTAAACTGCACAGCTGTTTTTTTTCTAACGCATCCCTGGTCTGGAGTTTTCGGAATCAGTTCGTTCGCGAACGAAAACGAAAGAACAACACCAAAATCTCTTTGGCTGCGCGAAATTACCCAAAAATTCAATGTTTTTCAATATTTTCGACTAGTAATACATGTGCGACATTATAGTTTCGTTTTGCCAAGTGTTAAAAAAGTGACTGTTTTGAAATCGCCCCTTGTTTTTCGAGAGTTTTTGTCGGCGTTTTTCCCACTTGTTTTTTTACGCACACTACGCGCGAGCTGCCTGTGTGCGTGTGTGTGTGTGTGAATGTTCGTGTGAATAAAAAAATCGATTCTGTTGTAAGTTTTTTGCCATTAATTACTCCGCCACATATTAAAGCTATTCTTTTGAATCGATGAAAATGTGTAACATGTGTGCTTGACCAAACCCAGCAGCATAGAAATCTTGTCATGCTGGTCGCAGTTGTTGTTTATAAAGCCAAACCAGTCCTAAAAAAAAGTGGCGTGGGCGGACTTGAAGTTAGCCATCGGAGACAGACTCCCAAAGTTGCCACAAAAATGTGCATAGTATCTGTAATCCGACGCAACAGTGCATTCTAAAATCGGTCCAGCAAGCCCGGTTTTATGTACCGCGTTTAAGGCAGAAGTTACCAAAGGGAACGCGACTCTATTTGGTTCCATAATAATCCAATTGGAAATGAGATTAAAAGTGAATTTCAAGGTCTAAGGGTCTCGAAAACCCCGAATATCTGTAAACCAAACTTCAATTGCAATCCAAAATCGGTGCAGTTAGGCCGGTTTTAAATGGATGTACTTAAACCGTATAATGTAGAGTTTACCAAATTGGGAATTTTTTAATCAATATCGAAGATTAGTAAACGCGACAAACGTATCTTAATGCAATTGTCTTTTTAAGATGAAAAAATAAATGTATTTGAATAAAAAACCATATTAGATTTTTAAGTTTTTAAAAATTAATAATTTGTTAAATCTTATGCAATATGATTAGCTAAAAATCTTTTCTATATTCTATCAATAAAGTTAAGTTAGTTATCCAAGATTTTTTAAAATTGGTTTTTACTATATTTATTCAAACTAGAACTAGCCTTCCTCACATTTTTAAATAATTGCGAATTGCTAAAATAGGTTAATAACGATAGTGCTCCGGTTAATTAAATCATTTAACGCTTTAAGATGATTCGTAAGATTTAATTGTGAGTCACGAGCTTAAATCCGGAAAAGTGTAGTTGATTAGGTTGAGAGTAAATTACCGAGAGTAAGAATTAAAACATGGGGTCTTTTGCGAAATGGAAGATGCAAACAAAAGTTTCGGTGGCAGAAAAAGAAGAGAAGCCGCGAACCGCATTATCTTTTTGGCTTGACCCAAATTGCAACTGCAACCTCTGAACTCCCGCCTGTGGCCTTTGCTTTGTCTTTGTGCCGCCTTCAACTTCATTGTCCTTCTGTGTCCTGGGTTTGGTTTCTCTTTTTTTTTTTCGTGCCCCCCATCCAAGAATATTCCTACTCCTACTCTGGTTTTTTGTTCGATTCCTGCTTCTTTTTTTTTATCATTTAATGTGCGGCAAGTTAATTGCCAAAAGAACTTTGCCGAGCTGTTGCTGCTGTCGCCTTTTATCTGTGGCAAGTTTTTAAAGTATCTCACACCCCCCGGCCTCCACCAAACTCATTTTAGCCGGGTCCAAAATTAAAAGCTCGCCCGCCAGCCTCATTAGTTGGCAATTATGGGCCAAATGGCTTGTCAAAGTAAGAATTTCCTTATTGAAATTGTTTTGCCTTGCGGAAAGTGGGGCAAAGAAGATTCTTCAGTTCTTTCCTTATCAATAGGTTTCGCTATTTTTTTGTACTTCCCATTTGCCAGCCCCGACTGCAAATGCTCATTTCCTCCCGCTTAAATGACTTTTCATTTCCATTTGACGAAGGCGGCATTTTAATTAGATGTTTTAGCTGAATACACACGACACCCGATACACCCTAGTGTGGAAATTCTTTGGCTGGTTGGGTCGGGATGCATTCGACTTGGAAAAATGTGCAGTTTTCCCTTAGGGTTGCTCCGAGTCCAATGACCAGGCTAGGCATCCCCTTAATCCTTGTTCAAGCGGGGGTGGAAGGAACTTCATTTCAAATGGGGTTTCTATTTTGGATTTGCAGCCCTGTACATCCTGGGTATAAATAAGATTGCAGTTTTTCAAATGTATCTGAAATTGAGAACCAATAGATAAGTTTAATTATTGGCAAAATCCATTTCAAGTGAGTTGTAGTTTCTTTAATTCAACCATTTTTAATTTATATTTCGTAGATTGCACTATTTTCCAATATTATTTGAAAGCAACAAATTATTCGTGTTATTTCGATATTCTTTAATAGCATTTTCCCATCCCCACACACAATCTTTAAAGTGCACTCCTTATCTAAATTGAATGCTCTTTATTCTTGTCAACTGCTCAACTGGCGCTGCAATAAAAGTAGTCTTGTGGTAGTCTCTGGTCTCTGACCCATATCAACACTCATAAAATGGAAATAACTCTTGCAAACGCGGCCAACCAGCTCCTTATCTTGGCCGTTAGTCAATTTTATTTGTTATCTATGTCTTTCCATGGCTGGCTTATTTGGCTTTTTGAAGAGCGCCTACGCAAAATGCTGCAATATAATCCACTTGGCTCAAGGGCCCTTCTTTCACTCATTGATAAGCTTTGGTCAACTTTGTGTCATGGCGTTCGCCATGTGGGAAAATGGTTGTAGTTATTATCACTTGAGTGATATGAGTTTATGAATGAAATTCAGTTTTTCAGGTTGGTTATCTGAATTTAATCAGCCGTAAATTATTCTTCTTATCTATTAATACCTATTTTAAGGGAAAATTACTTACTTTTTTTATATTATTTATGAAGCGTTTTTTTCCTTAATTATTATGTATTTCATATGAGCAAAATTGATCTGTGGATTTTACATACTTTATTTTAACTTCTACCTACTACAAACTTTTTAACGAATACGATAACCTCTTTTAATCTTCAATAAAGGGTTAAACTAAATTGTTAATTATAATTCTTTGATTAGGGAAACAAATATTTGTATTAAATTACACTTTAATTTGTTTTTATTGTGTGCAGAGCTAACAAAATGTTTAAAGAACATATGTCACATATTTGGGTTTCTTTTAAATTCTATGTTTTAACAGTTTTATAAATGTTAAAATATCTACCTAAAGCTTTTTATCAGGCTTTTAGCTCAATGTGTAGACTTTTCAAAATTAAAGCATTGTTTTCACTCCTTGTCTACAGTAAAAGCTAAGTTTAGCTTTGTAGGATTCAGGATTCTATAAATATAACTATTTTTATGGACACATACATATAAACAAAAAATGTTCTCTAAATTGTAGCATTCGTTGTTATATGCATTTGTCCAATATTTTCCTGAATGGTTTCCTCTCTTCATATAACAGCTTGAAATATAAAGTCTTTTTTGTATAAAAGTACGCTTCACAGAACATTTTCATTCATCAGGTATCTTATAAACTGGATGACGATGTATACAAAAGGTGCTGTATAAAAGTTTTCTTACACATGTAAATAATATTATTATTTCTATGAATATGTTCACATTTTCTGCATAAGTTTGGCAATCATTCCTTTAAGAATTTTCCTAATATTGTCCTGTGTGGTTTTCTTTCATCATATAACATCAATCTTAAAATATAACAACAATTATACACGCAAAGCTTTTGTTCTTCATGTAATATCAGGCCTCTTATTAAGTTTATCAACTATTTTGTTATGTATAAAAGTATTCTCTCGCGTTATATCTTTCAGTTTATAATAAAGTGCTATAAAGAGTATAACAGTTCACAATTCATCCCCTTCTTCGCGGAATGAACAACTGTTATACTTCCTTAGTTTACCCCTAAGTGTTCATTCGAGCTATAAAACAGTGTATAATAGTGAAGAATCCACCCCCTTAGCGACGGAATAAACAACTGTCATACATCCTGAGTTTTTAACCCCTAAATGTT